AACCCTGGTGGTAGCACTTACTCTGCCGCGCCGCAAGAATCCACAAGTGCAGGAACCAAGATCTTCAGCGACGTCGACCTTTCCCAAGCGTCGTCGAAAGCCTCCAAGAAATCCAAAGCCATTCCCATTGTACGGCCTGATGATGTCAACGAGGATAACAGAAGCAAGGATGAGGGTGAGCATGACAATGGCAGGCCAGGTCGTCCAGACCGCCACAAGCGTGCTCGCCGTGGCGATGAACTTTCAGAGACCGAAGCCGAGCTTAGCGTGCCTGCTGCGCTAGCCGAGGCGACCAACCTTCAATCCGCTCACATGCGCCAGCCGTCCCATACATCCGCTGATGGCAAAGAGAACATTGTACCTGAGGATGTAGGAGCACTCCCAGCGATCCCGAAACCTGTCTCGGCCCAAGACGACAAATTTGCCGAACGGAAGGACACTCCTATCAGCGAAGCTTCCACCTGGATCCCTCAGGAGATGAAGAACGAGAGTGCTGTTGCAGCGCCAGAGTCTGAATCTGAAATCAAGCACACAGAGCCGGAGCCGTTACAAGAAGTCCAGAAATCCATCGAGCGCGACGCTGTTCAAGAAGAGCAAGGGCGAGCTGTTCCGGTACCTACTGATAAAGTCTTACCATCCACTGAGTTGGGAGGTCCTATCACTCAGGAACGTTCGAAGAGTTCCGCTAGCCCTCAGGCCACACCGAAACGTGAGCGATTGCCCGAGCCAGCTCATCTGGAAGATGATGAAGACTCACCCGATGAGGAAGAGCTTAATGCTATCATGGAGCAGCTTAACGACGATTCGGACGTCGGTATTGAGCGGATAAGCACACCTCAGACTAATGGTCGTGTGCCTGAATCTGTCATGCATGTGACCAAAGAAAAGCGCCACGTTCCTGCTGATATCAGAAGCGAGGCCCCAAGCCCAAGCCCAGGACGTGGCCCAGCTCCTCACACATTGGATGTTCCTAAGCTTGACTTTGAAGCTCAATCGCAGTTCTCCGCCTCTCCATCAAAGGGTGCGATTACTGGCTTCCCCTCGCCGATTCGTCAGCTTGTGAGCCGTACTGAGCACATCAGCGATTGGGACGATGTAATCTCCTCAGGCGAAGATGAGAAACTGGTAAACCGAAGCAGGTTCTTTGATCGCCATATCAATGACCTCGTGGGTACAACTATCGACGAACGGCTGGGGCCACTAGAGCGAGCACTTGGGGTGATTCAGGAGTCTATCATGGCTATCACATCTGGCTCTCATACCAGACTTTGGAGCGCATCTGCCGACGGTGACAATAGCGATGCTGACGACGAAGAGGATGCGTACGAGGAAAATGAGTCGTTCAGTACAAGATCACACATGCGTCAGAGGGAAAAGCTTGATAAGCTGAAAGCGGTCGTTTTGGAAGCACTCGCTGCTCAAGCACCCCAGCAAGTCAAGGACGAACACGCGGTTTCCGAACTTGCCCAGCTACGGGAAAGCGTCTCGGCGTTGCAAGCCTTGACCATCCAGAAGTTGTCACAGGACCCGGTAACAGAGCTTAGAGAGATGATGCAAGAGTTGGTTTCAAGCCAGCGTGATGCGCGTTCTTCGGAAACGGATGAGGTTCCCGCTGAAAGTCTGATGCTCCAGATTGAAGGCCTGAAGAACATGCTTCGACTATCTGATGAGCGAGCGGATCAAGAGTACAAGCTTCGCAGAGAAGCCCAAGATTCTGTTGCAGAACTTCAGCGGCTTCTCAAGGTGGTTGAAGAAGACGCTGTTCGTCATAGTGAGGCTGCCGAATCTGCTGAGGCCCGGTTGCTGCACTTCAAGGCTGAGAAGATCCCTTACTATGAGACTGTTCAGCACAAGGCCGACACGCTTGAGCAAGAGCACGAAACTTTGAAATTCACTCTTGCCGAACTCTCGTCCAAGAACATCTCGCTCCAGGGCACTCTCGATGAATACCGGGTCACAGCCGACAACTACAAGCGAGACAGCGAGCAATCCAAGGCTGCTCTTGAGGAGGCCAAGGCCGAGAACAAGAGTCTACGTGGCATCGTTGAGCAGTTGAGGACACGCCTCGAAGACGGTATGAGTGTCCGGCAGAACCTCGGTAACAAGCTCGATCGTCTCCAAGAGGAGATGGCGACGGTAATTCGGGACGTGACTCATGATCAATCTTCATGGCGCCGGCGGGAGGAGGAGCTCAATTTCAAGTACAATGAATTGCGTGCTGCTTACGGGCGCGAGACGAAGCTGCGCGAGAAATTGGAGTATGACATCGATGGGCTCGAACAAAAGGAACGCGAAGCAGCGAAGCTGAAGTTTATCTTCGGTCAATCCCAACAAGAGAATGCAAGGCTTGAAGAGCTGGTGGCGAACTTGCGTCTGCAGAACCACGATTTGGAGCTCAAGGCGGCTCGGTTCGAGCGTGAGTTCAATGAGGCGCGCGAGAGCAGTCGCATCGAAATCCAACGCACCAGAAACTCACTGGAATCGGATCTGGAAGCTGCTAACAGTCAAGTCAACATCGTACGGGCTGAATTAGAAGCTCAAATCCTTCGCCTGCAGAGCCAGATGGACAATGTGCGACTCGACAATGACACGGCTCGGGAACGCTACGAGATGTTGTTGGAAGAGGCGGCCGAGACAAAGGTCAATGCCCTGGCAGCGGCCGCTCAAGCCCAAGAGCTGGCCGTTGAAGAACAGCGCCGAAACCACGAACGCGTTCTCAACGATCTCCGGGAACGCCACGCCCGTGCTCTGCACAATGCCTCTGAGGATAGACAGCGAAACGAAGGCCATCTGCTGGAACGGTTGGCGCTGTCCGAAGACAAGGCCAACCATCTTCACGACCGAGTGCAGCATCTTGAGGAAAGACTTCAGATCGCCCAGGAAGCTGCTCGTGCTGCCGCGGAAGCTGCTCAGTCCGCTAAGTCGGGCCCTGCCATCGCACAGTCTGCGCATGCCAGTACGCCTTCGATGTCATATCCCAATGGCTCCATGGTCCCCGAGAAGATTTCCCCTCAAGCATTGAGAGAATCGATTCTGGTTCTTCAAGACCAGTTGCAGCAACGTGAAACTCGTATTGAAGAGCTCGAGCAAGAAATCTCTACCGTCGATAAAGAAGCGCCCAACAAGATCAAGGAGAGGGATACCGAAATCAACTGGCTGCGTGAGCTGCTTGGTGTCCGGATTGATGATCTTCAGGACATCATCAACACCGTGTCGCAGCCATCCTTCGATCAACATGCTGTCCGCGACGCCGCCATCCGCCTGAAAGCCAATCTACAGATGCAGCAACAGGAGAGAGAAAGAGTGCACTCGGGACAGGCTTTCCCGAGCCTTCCCTCGCTTGCGGAACTGACTGCTTCCCCGCGCTCGCTTCCACTTGCGGCCGCGGCGGCATGGGGCAACTGGCGCAAGGGGAGGGAAAGCGTCGGCTCTGAACAAACACCATCCAAGCAGGGAGGTGCTGGTTCGTTTCTGTCCGGGCTCTTAACGCCTCCTGCCAGCAACCTCCGCCACGCTTCGTCCAACTCTAGTAACTTAGCGCCAACGAGTGGAAGACGCCCATCGGAGACTCGACCCTTGAGAAACTACAACACAACACCCAAGCAACCGTCCGGGCGCGCGAGCCGAATGCGTGAGCTTCCAAGTACTCCGCCTCTTCTCCGGCGATCAAGCTATGACCACGACGCCGAACCGACCGACTATGCACACAGTTCTTTCCATGAGGATACGGAAAGCACGGCTGACGGTCTGGTATCAGCATCACCACGAGAGACAATCGATGGGCCTTTCGGACCTCAGATCACATCCCCAACCTCATCATCATCCTAGACTGTCCATATCCTTTCGTCGCAGGTTTCTCCATACTTCATGTTAATAGATAATTTCAGAGCCTCTTGTTGACAAGACGAGTGGTTCCTTGCTTTTGTTACCGACTTGTTATATCACGATGCATCCTTTCCACTCTCTATTCCCCGAAGTTCAACCTTTTGGCCATCCGTATCATGTGATTTATTTTGTTGTGCTGTGTGCGAGGCGAGAAATATCTTTGATGACGCATCTTCTTATTCTTTCGTTTATTATACCATATCCAATGTGTTTTCTCTCTCTTCCTTTTTCTTGCGTCCTAACTGAACTGGATACCACCCGATCATCTTGATATGATTTGATTGGATTTGAGACCTTTTGCTGCAAATATGTATGTATTGTACACAAGAGTTGATTTTCTTTTGCTTGATCTGAATTCTGGTCTGCTGGTTGAGTTTGTCTAGAGGTACAGTATTGCGTAGTATGGTTTGCTTTGGGTGGTTGTATGAGGATATGAGTTGGCGGGTACATGGTGCTTTGCAGGGTTCTTCATGTGTGAGTGAGTAAGTGATTGATCCAAGCGGGCTGGAGTCCGCCCCCCTTGCAGATGGGTATGGCGTCATCGCTCTTTCTTCTTTTGCTTGAGTGCAGGAACTTCGGCTTAGTGTTTGGGCGTAGTACTGAAGAATGTAGATCACTTTTTCCCCTGGTATACAGTAGTACAGCGCAGAAGGAGATGTAAGGTCCCTCCCCCCCTCCCTCTTACCCAGTAATTGAGATTCTGGAATCGTCAACATGAAGACCCATACAGGGACTTCTCCTGTCCCAAGACTTAAGATACTGTATATTCCGCAATGAAACTCTACCTCGGCAAAGAAACGCCAGTGACAACAAAAGTATTACCCACTACATGCGATACTGTGTATACATCATATTTATCTCCTCTCAAGGCTCGAACTTAATCATTCTAGAAATCAAACGAACCGGGCTATGACGCTGAATGGAGAGATCCTTAACACCTTGATTGCTATGCGTATGCGTCTGCGTCTGCGTATGCCAAGCTTGCTTTTACTGCTTGTGGCTTCCTTTCCAGGGAAGAGGCAGGGAAAGTGGAAGAGGTTCTTCACGCCTTGCTGATTCTTTGGGTGGGGTGCTTTGCTTTTTGATCGCTCGCGTGATGGTCTTTATGTGCGTGATTAGATCTGCCACGAGAGGATCTGTTTGGAGTTGGCGCTTGTCGTGGCTGTGATTATGTATTTCCTTGTCGTGTGGCGGTGATGCTGCTGCTGCTGCTGCTTGCCATCTGAGGGAGGGATGGGCGTAATGCGGAGGGATTCGATGTCCTCGTCTGTGATGTCGAGGAGGAGGGACCAGGTTGGGATCTGGGGGTCTGTATCGGGGAAGTTGGGGGGCTGGGCTGTGGGGGTCGGGGTCGGGGTCGGGGTCGGGGTCGGGGTCGGGGTTGGACTTTGTGGTGCTGCTGGTGCTGTTTCAGGCTGGGTGGTTTGGAGGAGACGGGCAGGCGGATCCCCGTTCTGCAGGCTGTAGAGGTAAATTGCACCCCCGCGGGCGATGCTGGAGTAATGGCCTGTGCCGGGTTCGTAGAGGCACATTAGGCTTGCGTCCGGGGAGATTGCGAGGAGTGGGGCTGCCGTGGTGGGTGCCGCGGTGGGGAGGTTAGCAGTGTTCCATCTGGCGGTCGTGGCGGCGTGGAGGGTGGTGGTTTTGTGGTGGGTGTCTGTTGTTTCGAAGGTTGAGTTACGTCTTGAAGGGCTGATTTGGAACATGGTGGTGGGTTTGGAAGGATCGGTGGTGGGGGAAGGTGTAGGTAGGTCTGAGGGGATGGTGAAGGGGGTGATTTGGGGCATTGTTGAATGGTTTTGTCGACTGGGAAGGAGGCGGAGGATGGTTATTGTTTGTGCGGAGGACGGGAGGGTTGGGGATGTGTCGATTTGGCCGATGCAGTAGCCATTTGATCTGCTGGTGGTGCTTTGGAGGCATGCGGTGAAATATCGTCGCCATGGGTGAGCGGCGTCTGTGGCTGTGGATGAACGCTGCGGGGCCTGGCGGTAGCTCCGCGGCAGGAGCTGGAGGCCTCGGAGAGAGACTTTGTCCCTGTCGTTGGGGCTGAGGGTGCCAGCCATGGAGGCGGAGTCGAGGTAGACTTGGTTGATGGTGGCACGCCAGTATGCGAGAGAGGTAGGACCTGCTGGCTTGCGGTCTGGATTACCCAGGTAGCGCACGCGGGTCGGTTGGAAAGCGGTGGTGTCTTGAGCGATTGCGACCCGGAGCAGAGTGTCGTCGTCCTCGGCAAATTCGAGGCTCTCGATCGTGCCGTTGGCTTCCTCGTAGTTGGCAGGCGGGGGATGGAGGAACCTGTTTTCCTGGTTCACGGTATGCTGGGCAGGGGAGGTGAGACCGTCCAGGTCTCCGAGCAGGCTATAGATCTGGATCGTCTTGTCCAGCCCGACGGCGAGGAACTGCCCGTCTGACGACAGCGCGATGCGGTGCTCTGTATGCTGTGATGTGCCAAGCACGGCAGGACATACGGATGTCCAAAGTGAGTACAAAGGTGAGGAGCGGAGGAGTTCCCAGGGACCGGCTGCGTCTGAGCGGCTATACAGCAATGCTCGTGCGCCTTTCAGGACCACAAGCTTCCGGCCGTCGCGAGAGATGTCGTATATCGTACAATGCGAGCATTCCGGAGGGAGCATGCACCTCGATTGCGTTCTCTGAACGCGGTTGCGGCAGCCCAGCAAGTTCTGACGGACGATCTGACAGAAATAGTTGTCCCAATCCTCCTTTGTGAGGAGATCCGTCCGAGAGGGCAGCGAGACGGGGACCTGCTGAAGGGTGTTTCGAATAATGGACGAGGTCGAGGCTGCCATTCGCCATTTTCGACAGGTTGCCCGAGCGGCGATGTAATCTTCCACATCGAGGTAATCGAGAATGCAATAAATGAGCTCAATTGGTAGATTTGTGGCCATATTGTGCTAGTGGGGTATTATCAAGAGAAAGAATCACATCTTGAGAGTCCAAAAACCAGCTCGTACTCCATTAGGCGAGAAATCCGAGTTTATATAGAGAGCTCGGGAAACCGGCTCGATTGTAAACACATGGTTCGACATGGGAGGGATATTCGCCGATAAGGTAGTGGTCGATCAGAATACCCCTTTTGTGTGACATAGGTGGACATAAAATGAAGCAGTGTGCAGCTCGTGCGTCATCAGGTACGAGAAGAGAAGATAATGATAGAAGTGGCCGTTGAGAAAGGGCTGTGAGATGGCATATGATGAATGATGGTCCACCGGGTTTGATCGACTCGGAAACCACCCAACACGGGCCGACCGGGAAACAACAGGCCATCGTCCAACCTAGCGATTTCCATGCTCTGGTCAACGTTCCCAACCGGCCGAATGACGGGTATGTCGGTCTGGGCTGGGAGGGTACATGGATATCAAGTGGCGTGACAGTGTAGGCATTATCATTGTGGGTAAGGCTGGCTGGCTTTGATTCCATCGGGTGATTCCCCCATCAAAAAGTCCCAACTGGTCGCCATTGGTTGGGGCAACTGTGCGACAAAATGATGATGATTCTTTGATGACTTCTTGATTATTTTTGATGATTTTCTACAGCCGTAATGTTGGTTGTGGTCGTACATGCCGGGATGGCCCTCCGTTGCGTCACAGATCAAATGTAAATGTGTGAACCCGGTAATGGTATTATGTCACTTTGTATAATTAGTTAACCTTCTTCGCTGGTATTCTTCAAATAGCTAAATGTCGCTCCGCCTTGATGGTTTGAAGTTTAATAAACTTAAAAGAATTGCCTGCGATGCAAATGGTCAAGCCGGCATTCATAAATGCGATGGAATGTCCTGATTGGGATGGCGGCACATCAAAAGTCAGGCTGGCGCCAGTACATCCTAGAACCCTTGCGCTGCCTGTTCCGGAGGAGCGCGTCCTAGATATCCGGAGCGGCAGTCTGGCATGGTCGATCACGGAGTAGGCTCGGGATAATCTCGGTCACGACTCGTGCACTAAGCTGCCACTTTCTGCAGGGAGTGTGCACAGCATCAGTAGTCGATGGGAACTGACAGCCCCGGCTGTGTGTAACCTACATCTTTCCAGAAAAGAAGCTTGTAGGTGGCTGGAAAAGGTCCTCGAGCTTTCCGTCGCTCATATGATGATGTTCTTTTCTCGCTGGTAGAGATCCTTGAGTAGTTTCAGCTGTTTCACACTCATAGTCTCTTTAGGAAGCTGGCTGGGAAGGTCAACTATCGCCAGTCTCATCAAGGCCAGTCCGACGTGTCCAAAGAAACCCACGACCCGCTCGGCGGAGGTCTTGAGCATAGCTGTCAGGAGGGTGATATGAGTATCTTGGATCTGGTCGACGGGGATGGATAAGATCTTGTGCATCGATTGCCAGAACATGGTGTTAGGGAAGGGGTTCTTGCGTGTGGTTTTGCCGAAATTGCGCAGGGTGAGGGCGGCATAGCCGGCCCCGAGAGCAGTCATGCGTTCGGCATGGGCTTGTTCACTGAGCCAAGGCCCGTCCGGCCCATCCCGCCGCCAACCCACGGCACGTCGCCCGCCTTCGGTTTGTTCGTTGCCGCAAAATCCCCACAGCGCCGGGCAGAAGACACGGTATTTCGCTAAGAGGATGTCCACCATGTGGTGGCCCTTGTAGACGAAAGCATCCAGCGAGAAAATCTGTGCGGCCACAATGCCGATCGGCTCTGCATGTCCAATGTTGATTCCGGCTTCTTGGAGGAGGCCAGCAATGAGGGCTTTGGAAAAAATGTTGAGGGCGTAAATCAGTAGCGCGGGGACCTTGTTATCGTCGGAATTGGCGATTTCAGCCGGAGGGAAAGCCATAAACTGGCGCACATCCACCGACGGTTCGGCGATAGAGGAGGCTTTTTCGAGCGTTGTCCGAATTTCCTGAATCTAAGCAGCAGCAATATGGTTAGCTTGTTCCCCAGACAAGGGCGCGAACGATGTGAATCCTCACCTGTGTCTTATTTCCTCCCTTAGTCTCACGGAGCTGTCCAACACATTTCTTGATGGATCGCCGAATATCACCCATATTCTGCTTCACGACTGCATTCGTCTTGCTTTCATCCTTGAGGTATTGCCGGAACTTCTTCAAGTGCTGGTGAAGTTCCACATAACGGGTGTGAATCTTGACTTCATCTTCCGTCAAGCGGCCTCCACCCACCCGACGTTGTCTCTCTGCCTGAGCCTCCTGTGCCTCTGCTGCCCGACGCTCTGCAGCCTCTTGTTCCGCCTTCCTTGCCTCTTCTTGTTTTTTGCGCTCCTCCTCCGCGCGTCGTTCCCGTTCCTTGCGCTCCTGTTCCTCTTGTGCCGCTAGCCTCTTGCGCTCTGCCTCCTCCTCTGCCTTCTTCCGGGCCTCCTCGGCAGCCTTGCGCTCGGCTTCTCGACGGGCAGCCTCCTCTTGCTCCCGTCGCTGTTTTTCCTGTCTCTCCTTCTCCAGACGTTCCGCCTCTCGTCGCGCTTCTTCCTCCTTCCGACGAATCTCCTCCTCAACTGCTCGTTGATGGGCGCGTAGCGTCTCTTCAGCTTCTTCTAACACCTGGTCATGTAACTGCGCGACTTTGTCAAGGGCCGCGTTATGCTGGGCTTCGCGCTCGCTGTCCAAACGATCGAGGCTTTCGTAGAAGGAGCGACGCTCGTAGGCTTTGACTTTCTTTAGTTCCGTATTGTGAATCTTCAATTGCTCGAGGTCGCGCGTGAGATCGAGAAGGAGTTGTCTTGAGGGGCTATCCACCTGGGGAGGATAACTGAGGCGCCCCATGTTGCAAATTGGTGTAGGGCCTCGATGGTAATTGTTCTCAACTCAAACGAGAGACGTGGAAAGAAAACAATCGACTCAGTTGTCAGATCCAAAGAGTGTTGACGGAGTGGATTGAAACCAGGTCAACAACATCGGCGTCCAATCGCCGGCAAGTGATATTGAATGAGATGAAAACAGCCAATGTGTGAAAGTTGACAAAGGAGCGTAGAGAGGAACTTCGTAGACGCGGACAGGACTCGACTTGCTGGACCTAAACATCACAAGAAATTGGCAATTAGCAGATATCTCGCGCGTAGGCTCGGTACCAAATATTCACATACTTCCTACCGATGGCAGAGTGCGTTCCTACCAAGACAAGCTGGATCAAGCTTTGTAGAAGCCTTCTTCCCAGTCAATTGACCTGTAGTGAGCGGAATCTCGGCATAGGCAGCCAGAGAAGAAGCAAACAAAGGAATGGAGGTGCCGATGTCAATGACTGGGTACACGATCCTGTCATTCCGGAACGTTTTGCGGGAAGAACAGAGCTCCGGTGCTGAGTCATCGTAACCGGAAGATGCAAACCCTTCAAACTGGTCTGCATCACCGTTTTGTGTTGACTGGGGCTACTCCGTACGGAGTACGTACTCCGTGGTCTACGACTGCACCAGACCGCCTGGCTAAACATGGGAGCGCTCGGTTCCCACATCTCCTTCTCCCCCCCCCCCGTTCGTCGGTCGGAGTCGAGCAAACACCACGATTATCATGAATCAGACGACGATGATCTGCATTCAGATCACAATTAATCTCCTGCTGGATCAGATGAGATGATAAGAGAAACAATCCCTTAAGACCTTTCACTACCACTGTGGCCTGGCTCACTTCTGACACCCTTCCTCAGTCAGGGAGGAGATGTCGACGCCTCCATTTAATCTGTCTCTCACATCCGACAGCACCTCATGGCCATGGACTTGTCCAGAGCCCCGCCTGTTTCGTACTGTGGATCTCCAGCCTGCCCACTATTGGACAAGTTGACTCTTCGGGGAGCGTATCGATACCGCTGGATACCTCGCCCACTCCTCACTAAGACACCAAGGACACGAACCAACACACTGCTGAGGACGGTCAGTTCAAGGAAAGTTAAGGGGGAACGGACCCCAAATTCAGACAAACCGTTATCAGTATTGTTTCGCTGGTTCTCGTCATCATTCTCTGATCTTACTACCCATGCAGATGGGAACCGAGATGTAGAGAAGTATAAGTTCCTATCCGGGATTCACTAAGCAATTCCCACATGCTAGATGCAGGTAGCCCTATTCTTGATGTGCCTAAAAGTTAAGATAGGCCTTAGTGACCTGTGACTTGAATCCACTGGGACTCTAAGCGGTAGCTTACCGCCATACCGCACGCACTCAATCCCCTAACCCCATTCCCCATAGGCTCCAAGCCTGGTTTAGGCGCCGCGGTGCACGCAGTGGATCATCTCCGAAGAGTGAGAACTCAACGATCAGTTAATGCCGGTGCCGGATCATCAGTCCCTGCGATCAAGGATGTCGCCCCTGAACATTCTACACATGGACTGTACGAGTGAAGGAAAACACGTCTGTGTATGAAAGAAGAGGCATACGTAGCCAAACAAGCGATCCATCCGTAGATGGAAGCTCAACTCCAAGTGGCAAGAGTGGCAAAGTCAGTGACAGGCCGAGAACCAGAGCTGTAATGGAACCCAGACCCTGTCGAGCTCCAAGTATGGTAACCTTCTGGTTTAGTGACAAGTTTATTCCATCACTGATCGGATGCTGTAGTAGCTGAGCTTCTTACACATAGCCAACCCAGGTAGTAATGAAAGTCAATTGATACACCATGTCATATTGAATCTCTCTCACATTGGACTCACACTGACTGTGTGCATGTCAATAAACCCATCATGGCTATAACTACTTCCATCTTGTAGTTTCTGGATCCTTTCCCCCCACATCAGACTGCGAGAACTGCGATATCATTCACCTATTGTGCATTGAACATACAGTATGTACCCTCTTAGTCGAGTTAGTCAAATCTACATTGGAACGTGAGATTGATTGACTTTTGGAACAGTAAGAACAGTAATTTGTTTGTGACTCCAACTTATTCACATTGTCTGGTATTGTTCGCGGTAGTATCCTTACAGGGTCTGCAACCTGGCCAGGTTATGACTACTAATAGCGACACTAAACGGATCTCCCTCACGCTTTCTGTCTCTCTCTCCTCACTCTCTCTTCATCTTCACTTTTCTCCTCCTCCCCCCACCCCCCCATATCTTCTTCTTTCTTCTACCTTGTCTTCTCTTTTTATTTCACTCCTCTCACCCTCCTCTCCTCTTATCGCTTTTTTCCTCCTCCTCCCTCCTTTCACCTATTCCCCTCTCTCCCTCTTTACTCTTGCCTTTCCTGATCATTCCTTCAGGTTATCCACCAGTCCTCTGGTGGTAGCATTGATCGCCTTGGCTTATCTGTCATTCTCTCTTTGTCAGATAAAACCCACCTCGTCGTGTGCTTGTCGACTTTGCTGAAGTAGGAGCCAAGAACATATCTGTTTTGGAATAACCAGACTGTTTTTGTGCCTCATCGCCGGAAAAGACGTCAGCTCAGCAGCGTTGTGGTGCAAGAAATACTTGGGTTGTCTCTTCCCCCCTTTTCTGCCACTAAATAGAGAAGAGACTCCGTTCTCTTCCGTAACATCATCTCAACAGACAGAACCTCAATCAATCCCATCACTCCAATCGTCGAGACGAACTCCTGTTCGCTGAAGAAACTGGAAAACCAAACGAGCTTTGCCCGTTGCAGAGGAGGAAAATAACAATATATGCAAGTCATTTGGCAGAAGGGGACCAACTCCACTCTCTCCTTTGGCTTGCTTGACCGACGATAGCTCCCAAACATCCGCTTGAACTCGGTGCTTCTCTTTCCCTTTTCTCTTTCCCCTCTTCTTCTTCTTCTCTCCTCTTCTTCCTTTTCCCCTTCTTCAGTCTTCTCTCTCTCTCTCTCTTCTATCATAACCCCACAAACCCCAAAAATACAAGTCATCCTCTACCTCCTGCTTGATTAGTCGAGCTTCATTCCTCTCTTTCGGTTCTTGCCGTCAATCGAGGCCTTGTCCCTCATCGGGCCCCGCACGGTGTCCTTTCCCCCCCCCATCGCGACCTTGCTTTCTCTCTGAATATATTGGTTTTGCTTCTTTGGCTTCTTGGTACTCCCTGCTTCTCTCTCAATCTCGTCGGGTTACCGCTTCTCGTTCTTGAAGTCAAACGGCTGTCTCCCGCTCCCGTGCGAAAAAATTAAGGAGAAGTGCGAAAGCAAATTCTCTCCAGGATTAATTTGCATCAAACCAAAACTCCCCCCCCCCCAAACAAAAGTTGGACAATCGTTAAACCAGGTAAGCATCGAAGCTCCTCAGGTAGTCAAAGCTGCTGCGTTCTCAATCACTTTTTCTCCCATGAGCTTGTCGGGCTGGGTTCTGTTGCCTCCACATTCTCTCCCCGGTTCGCCTCGCTTCTTTCCCAGCTGTACCTTGGTTGATGTCACTTCTGGTATGGGGTAATCGCAGCTTCCCGTTTGCCCACAGAAGCTCCCCCTCCTTCCGCCTCTTTCCTCATCACCTAGCTTTTTCCTTTGTCTGCCACCAATTTTCCATTGCTGGATTTTCTCGTAATGTCTCTTTCTCTCAGCCAGCTGACCTATCGTTCTCCCTTCTAGTTTACCGCAACATTTCTCAGTCGTTGTTCTAGACGGCCTCCGATCGGCTTCCCTACCACACCCCCCCCCCCTATTTGCTCACCAGCGTTAGTCCATCGCTTCAACACTCTCTTCGCCACAGCGGGCCGATTCACAACAGACGCCTTCCTCCAGAAACAAATCAACCGGTGATCTATTCATCAAGAAAAGATGGATCAACAGGGTCAATCCGGTGTCCCCGGCCCCGCAGGGCGCAAGCTTCACATCGCTCACAGAAGAAGTCCCTCGGAGCTCACACCCCTCATGAGTAAGTCTCCTGTGGCCTCCCTGTGTGTCGATCTTCTTCTTCACACCTCTTTTCTCCTGATTCACACATACTAATGCTCTCATCATCAAAGTGGAGCAATTGGCCATTCAGCAACAGATTGAGCTGCTTCAGCAGCAACAACAACAGATCGCAGCTACGCATCAGCAATATGTCAACATGGGTCTGTTACAACCACAGCAGCTGGGTCAAGTTTCGGCATTCTCTCCCTCTCTGCAAAGCGGGGCTTCCATGGGAGGAGTTTCCCCGCAGATCAATGCCTTCCAGTTTCCGCAACTGGCTCAGCAACAACTTGGCGTCGGATTGAACGCACCTGCCCAGCATTCGCATCGACGGAATCAGTCGGCTCTTCCCGGTTTGGGAATGGGACCTCCACCAGCTCCATCCTCAGGAGCGTCGGGTTACTCGGACTATAACCAACAACAGAGCCATCAGCCAAAGAATGAGAATGGGGGTCATGGGCGTGGCCAAAGAGGTCCTCCTGGTGGCGGTGGTCATCAGAGACGTCACTCGCTTGCACTTCCTGAGGCCAAAAAGGCCGCTGAGCTTGCGCAACAGAAAAGGACGGCATCTGGTTTCCAGTTCCCCGCTCCCTCTGGCGATTCTTCTGATGCTGCGCAGAGCTCAGACGGCAAGTCAACCCCACCCGCTACACAGGCTCCCCAAGGTCTAGGTATGCATCGAGCCGGTAACATCCGCGCTGGCGGTCATGGTCGTAGTCAGTCAATGGCTGTGGGTGGAAATCGAGGCTCTCTGTCGGGTCGCGGCGCCGGTGGCTTCCAGTTCCCTGCTTCCAATGACAGTGGTTCTGATAATCAACGCCGTGGCAGCCAGCCCGGTCACGCTCGGTCTGGATCAAGGAACTTTGATAGCAACTGGCGCCAGCCTAATAACCAAGCTCAAAGCCAGGATCAACAGAAGAGCTTTGGACAGCAAGGCAGTGGCTTCCAGCCTGGACATCGTGCTCGTGCATCCATGAACCAGTCGATTGGTTCCATTGGGCAGTTCCAATACCCTGCACAGCCCCAGCTCATTCAACTGCCACAAGGCCAGGTCATGATGGCTCCGCAGATGTTTGGTGGCCAACAACAACTGAACCCCCTGCAACTTGCCCAGCTCCAGGCTCTGCAACAGAATGGTCAGCTCAGTGGTCAGGGCCTCGGGCTTCAGGCTAGTCAGCACGCTCCGCCGCAGCTTTCTGCTCAACAGCAGCAGCAACAGCAGCAGCAGCAGCGGAAAACCCTCTTCACTCCTTATCTGCCCCAGGCAAACCTTCCTGCTCTCTTGAGCAATGGCCAGTTGGTCGCTGGTATACTCCGTGTAAACAAGAAGAATCGTTCTGACGCCTACGTCACCACACCAGACCTAGATGCCGATATCTTCATCTGTGGAAGCAAGGATCGTAACCGTGCTCTTGAGGGAGACTATGTTGCAATCGAGCTTTTGGATGTAGATGAGGTATGGGCTCAGAAGAAAGAAAAGGAGGAAAAGAAGAAGCGCAAGGACATCACAGACGCCCGTTCCGGTAGCAATGCTGGAAATGATAAGCTGTCTCGATCTGATTCCGGCGCCAACGGCGACCGCCAGGAGGTCGGCCCTGACGGCAGTATCCGTCGACGTGGCAGTCTCCGTCAGCGACCAACCCAAAAGAAGAACGATGATGTCGAGGTTGAGGGTCAGAGTCTTCTCCTGGTTGAGGAAGATGAGATCAGTGACGAGCAGAAGCCCCTCTATGCGGGACACGTCGTCGCCGTCATCGAGCGCATTGCTGGACAAATGTTCTCAGGAACCTTGGGCCTCCTTCGTCCCAGTAGCCAGGCGACGAAGGAGAAGCAGGAGGCCGAGCGACTCGCCAGAGATGGTGGTCACGGTCGCCAACAGCAGGACCGCCAGCAGGATAAGCCCAAGATCGTGTGGTTCAAGCCCACCGATAAACGTGTTCCTTTGATCGCCATCCCCACCGAACAGGCTCCTCGCGACTTTGTTGAAAAACACCAGGAGTACGCCAATCGAATCTTTGTTGCATGCATTAAGCGATGGCCAATCACATCTCTGCACCCCTTTGGTACCCTTGTCGAACAGCTTGGTGAGATGGGCGACTTGAAGGTGGAGACCGAAGCTCTGCTGCGGGACAACAACTTCGGTGGGGACGAATTCTCCGACGCTGTTCTCAAGAGTATCGGTTGGGAAGACTGGTCAGTCGCCAGTGAGGGTGACGCTCTGCTCGCCTCCCGTCGGGACCTGCGCCAGGAGACGACTTTCACCATCAATCCTACCGGAGCCAAGCAGATTGACAACGCGTACCACATCAAGCCTCTTGCGGATGGCAAGGTGGAGATTGGTATCCATGTCACGGATATCGCTCACTTCGTCAAAGCCAACTCCCTTGTTGATCGGGAGGCCAAGAAGCGAGGCACGGCTGTTTACCTCATGAACAGACTTGTGAACATGCTCCCCACCCGCGTATCTACTGAACTGTGTGCCCTGCTGCCAGGCGAAGATCGGTTGACAGTCAGTGTCATCATCAAAGCCAACCCAGAAACAGGTGCTATCGAGGATGACGTTTGGATCGGCAAGACCATTATCAAGAGTTCCGGTCGCCTCAGCTATGATGATGTCAATTCTATTCTTCAGGGAACTTCAAACGTTGCCGCTCCCGGTGTCGCCGCTGACACTGTCAGAGCCCTTTATGTAAGTGATCTCGTGTGAACTCGACCCGTAGTATCTCGTTTGGTCTTGGCTGAGCTAATGATATCTTGTAAATAGGCTGTCACTTCACGATTCAAGGAGGCTAGATTCGGCAATCGGATTTCACAAATCCCTCCCCTCCGCCTTTTGTACCAGCTCGATGACGAGAATGTGCCCGTTGAGGGTAATATCTTCGACTCTTCTCCTGTCCGTGAGATGGTTGAAGAACTCAGCTTCAAAGCCGATTCCTTGGTAGCCCGTCGCTTGGCCGCTGCTTTGCCGGATAGGGCCTTCCTCCGCCGCCAAACCCCACCCAACGTCCGTCGTCTTCAGCTTTTCGTTGAACGGATGAACAGACTTGGGTTCGGCTTGGACCCAACCAGCAGCGGGACCCTGCAGAGCAGTCTCTGCAAGGTCCAAGATGATGATTTGCGCAAGGTCAGAAGACTCACCCTTCATGTCGAGCATATGAAACTTCGTTACTGACAATAGTAGGGTATGGAAACGCTTCTCATGAAGTCAATGCAACGTGCCAAGTACTACGTGGCTGGCAGCACATCTGACGACCAGCGACAACACTATACACTTAATTTGCCAGTATATACACACTTCACCAATCCATCTCGCCGTTACGCGGATATGCTCGTCCATCGTCAGCTGGAGGCTGTTCTCTCCAACGGTGCTATTGAGCTCTCGGAGGATCTGGAGTCGCTTAACAAGACTGCCGATCTTTGCAACAACAAAAAGGACTCCGCACACAATGCCCAGGAGCAAAGTGTTCACATCGAAGCCTGCAGAAGCATGGACAAAATCCGCCAAGAGCATGGCGGTGATCTCATTAGCGAGGGTATCGTTCTCTGCGTTTATGAGTCTGCCTTCGATGTTCTCATCCCAGAATATGGATTTGAGAAGCGTGTCCACTGTGATCAGCTGCCTTTGAAGAAGGCCGAATTCCGCAAGGAGTCGCGTGTGCTGGAGCTTTACTGGGAGAAGGGGGTGCCATCCTCTGCTTATATCCCTGAGGACGAGCGGCCGAAGCCTGCCAACTCTCGCGCGGCTCAAGCTGCTGCTGCTGCCCGCGAAGCTGAGGCTGCACGTGAGCGTGCTCGCGAGCGCGAAGAAGCCATCCGTAGACAGACTGAGACTGGCACCATGTCGCATGATGACGTGGACGCTCTATTCGATGATGATGATGACGTTTCCGAAGTCACCGAGATGGCTGCGGGTGTTTCATTGAACTCCGCTGTTGACCGTTCCACCCAGAGCATGCCACCTTCGCCTACTCGCAATGGCCATCTCCCTCAGGCGCCTCATCGGACACGTTCTGACCCCAAGATTGCGACCATCAGTGGCGATGCTCCTGAAGCTAAGTTGACGAACAAGGAGAAGTATCTCCGGCTGTTCAGGCTTAGGGAGGAGGATGGAGAGTACATCCAGGATGTCACCGAGATGTCTCGGGTGCCCATCATCCTAAAGACTGATTTGAGCAAGAGCCCACCGTAAGTTTCTCCTCGGTAACCGTTTCTACTCAGTCGAGCCCTCAAGCTAACCGCGACACAGATGCCTTACTATCCGCTCTGTTAACCCCTACGCGCTGTAATCGGGGCCGTATATCATATGTCTTCTCTGGATGTGTTTTACATGTTTACAGTACAGATTTGACCTTTGCTTAGCGGATTGTTAGGGTGGCTGTCTGATGGTGGTCGTCCAGTTTGATTGTCTTCCGTCAGCTGAGCGAGGCACCACCTCATGCTCATGGTCGTATAGCTTTTATCAGCCTAGCGTGTTATTTCTCTCTTATAATGTCTGAAGCTCTTCCTGGGAGACAGGGTCAAGCCTAACTCGAGACTTTGCAGCAGGGCCTCGTGTGGACCTGACTCAAGGAGATCGAAGTGTGAACCTCCGTGGTGATGGAGGGTTATCTTTATGTGTTGCCGATCATGAAGATCCAAGGGCTAGATGCCTGATCTGATGTGACGTGACGAGAGGGGGTAGTTATCTCGGCCAGATCGAAAGCCAGTCAAACTCAATTGTCTCGGCAAATTTTGTGGATTCATCATTAGATATTGCATAGTTTCAAACGGCACATGTTCCAGAACACTGATCAATCCTCGGATAGAACTCGAGGGTACACTCGTAGCCAAGTGATTAATTCGACAGTCTTCACACTCAAGCAGCTAAGCGCGGTGACTGCAGTAGACTCCTTGAGTTTTGCATACATCTTACAAGCGGACTACCTAAACAGGTACAGTCTATCACATGCCAGTGCGGGTCGGGGTGTACTTCTACAAATCCAAACATAGTAAACGCCAGGCTAAAGAATCCTCACAACCAAAGCCCATCCCAACAGTCTCGTAAAACCAACTCCGCAATGAACATAATCCTAACAACCTCAAAACAAGAAGTGAAGAGAAAGGAAGAGGCACAGAGGTTACAACCGCCGTATCCCAATCCTCGGCTTCACTTTCTTTCCCGTCCCACCAGCCGACGCCGACACCTTCCTCGCGCCCATTGTCATGGATCGGAGCGGTTTCGAACTTGAAGGCACTGACGCGGAGACGGCACGTCGAGAAGACATAGTACCCATCGTCGTAGTAGCAGTAGTAATAGGGGAAGGCCCCAGTGCCGCGAGCGGGTGATATTGGTGAGATGATTTCCCAGGGGAGAGGGACGATGAAGCGGAGGGGAGAAAATCCTTGGACAGGGGGTTCTCCTTGCCGTCTCCGCTCCGTCGGCGGCGGGTTTCCTCGTCGTCCGAGCCCGGGGACGAGGACGGGTCCTCGAAGATCTGGAGGTCGACTGTCGCTGCCGCCGCCGCCGTCGTAGGGGTAGATGCTACGACATCGTCGCGGATGCGGCCGGAGGCGTTGACGCCTTTCATGGGGGAGGCGCCTCGTTTGGGGACGGAGAGTTTGGGGGACTTGTTGCGGGGTTGTTCTGGGGAGGAGGGGGAGTGATCTCTCCCGCTTTCTCTGTCTCTTGTGGGAAGGGGGTGGGTCTTGCTGGGGTGTTTGTAGTAGAACAATGTGGGAGAGGAGGATGGTGATGTTGATATCGTTTGGTTGGCGGCGATATTCTGGTTTGAAGCAGAGGGGTTGGGGGTGATTTCGGGATCGGGGTCGGACTGGTTGTCGTCGTCCTCGTCGTCCATGTCCATTGGTAGCGTTAGGACGGAGAGGGGACGTTTACCGTGGATATTTTTGCGGAGGGTTGGGGGTGGGCGGTGGCGGACTGGGGAAGGAGATAGCGAAGGGTCGTTCTCTTTGCTGGCGTTGGTGGAGGATTCGGAGTCGGAGGGGGTTTCCTCGTCACCATTGTTTCCTTCGTTGTTGGGAGCTGCATGCGTTTGTTGTTGAAGGTGATCCTGGTGACGGAGGTCTTCTTCGCGGTGGGTGAGGTTATCGGTTGTGAGGGCTAGAGAGGGTTTGGATAAACTGGTCTGGCTGAATGACGGCGTTGGCGCAGCTGCTGAAACCGTCTGAGGAGTTGTGCTAGATTCTGATTCGGGTGTGTTCCTCGCGCTGGTCTTCCGAGTTGTCCGTTTCTTCATCGTCACGGACGTGATTCTGGTTCCTTTGCGTGGCCTCAAGGTGCGGGGTTCGTCCTGCTCGACCGGGATCGTGGTGCCGGCGTCTTCACCCCGCAGTTTCGCTTCGGCGACTGCGCTCTTGAGATCGTCGGGGACGGGAGCATGGATTGAGGTCATCAGCTTGGCTTGACGGGCAAAGGCTTCGTAGTTTTCTTGCAGGAGAGAGCCGGAGGCGGCGTTGAGTGCGGAGTCGGGGTTCGGGTAAATCAGCAGACAGGAGATTGTCTACACGTGCGGAGCATTGGGGTTAGAGATCCTCAATTGTGGTTATCGTGGTGATGGGTGTGGAGGGCAGCTTACGATCAGCACATCCTTCAATGTTAGCGTAGACTTCCAGTCTCGCTTCAGAGTATCCACGCAGACAGCTCCCGTCAGTTCCTCCACGTTCGGATGCCAGATGCGAGTCTTGAAGGTTGCCTTGGGAGGACTCTTGGGGTAATCCTCCGGCATCTTTAGATGTAGTCGCCATAGTCCCTGTGAGTAGGGGGTACCCTGTGGACCAGCTAGGAGCGCGGTGAACTGCGTCAAATCGTCGGCGTTGGCATCATCGGGAGGGAAGAGGTAGTTGGGCGGCAGCTCCTCATGCAATGCAGCATGGTCCGCTGCGAGACGGCGGATGCTCGCTGAAACCTTTCGAAATCCGTTAGCTTAAACTGATATCCCCGAAAAAAAATTGCAACTGGTAAAATCAGAAACTTACCATTCTGCCTGCTCTTTGTGCGGCTTTCTGAAAAGTCGAACACAATTGTAGTGTAACGATATCTGGAAAGAAGATCAGACGATCTCACAAGACAAGGGTCCTGGGAAAAAGAGCTAGGTGAAAGTCAGGTGTCGAACTAGCACCAGGTGTCACTGATGTCTAGATCTCTGAGAGTGGAACTGTTTCGGAGTTTTCTTTCTCAGTAGGAGCGATTGGTAATGTTGTGACACCCAGTACGGAGTACTTTTGTATAAGCTCACTAGTGAAGTAGTCACTCCAGCGACGACCCGACAGCTCATTTGTTTTGATGATGTTTAGTGAAGCTGACCGACGGCACTAAGCCCGGCTGGGTCTCAAAACAACGCGCCCGCACCCAAGCCAGTCACGTGTGTTTCGCGTATTCCGCGCGTTTTAGGCAGTGTAATTGGATGAGGTAAGGAGTCCCGATTGGGATAGGGGCGAGTGCGGACCACCTCCGGGCCTCTTGAACAGCTAGATAAGTGGAGGAGTCTCCATAATTTACTATAGACTATCGATCGAAGTGCCATTGACTATTTCAACGACTTCAAGCACTGGACTACATCTCTTTCTATCTTCTCGTCCGATTTCTGAATATTTGGAGACGGAGTTAGGTCGTCAGGATCTATGAATGGAATTCGTGGATAACTGAGATACAATGCTCACGTACGTCACCAAAAGATAGATTTGATCTTTCCGTTATCCTATATGGCTGCTGTGAAGACATGAGGTGGACTCAACTGCCAGAACCTAATGTACAATTGGCCAAAACCTGCTGAGAGAGAATTGTCCTGTGTATTTACCATGTACTCATTAAGCAATTAAAAATTACTAGAAAAAAAAATCAAAAGCTCTTATGTACGCCGCAGTCATGCAACTTTGGTGAACAAGGATCGGCCTTGACATCAAACAGGAGGGGGAATGAGAAAGAATCAAACACAGAAAAGCAGCCGTCCCATCAGTGGTGCAAGTTCCTCCGACCGAGAATCGGTTATATATTCAGGTTATTTTCGACCTCGGTTCGCCTGACGTAACGGCCGTAAACACGCTATACAAGTCGATGCCTGGTGCGAATCATCGAAGCGGAAGATGTCTTAGGTCATTGACGATGGTAGGGTATTGCCGGTCCCTTTTACAAAAGGGCAGCAATGGCGGCACCGGCCACCACGGACAGACCCATAGGAGCCATAGTGGCGAGAGGTACACCGGCACCCTCAGAGGTGCTGGTGCTGCTGGAGCCGCTGGTCTGGGAGGAAGAGGAGGAGGTCTTGGTGGAGGTGGAAGACTCGGTCTTAGCGGTGGTGGTCTTGGTCTTGACAGTCGAGAAGGACGAAGCAGGAGCGCTGGAGCCGATGACAGCGCTAGAAGCACCGGCGGGGAGGGAGCCTTGGGTGGGGATGACAGGCTGGGAGGTCACAGCAGCGGGCTGAGAAGGAGCCTAGCTTCATGTCAGCACTATTGTTGTGTTGTAGATACAAGAGAGAATTCTTGCTTACCACGACAGCAGAGGACTGGGCAGCGGCGAGAGCGCCGAAAGCAACCAGGAAGATAGAGTAACGCATTGTGATATTGGAAGGTGGGTTGAATCGGGTGGAGCGATTGTAGAGGCGGAGTATGAAGATCGATCAAGAGTCACAAGCGAATGTCTCTGGGAGCAGGTAGCGATTGAAGCGAATGGGTGAGGCCTCGAAAGGAAACGACCGTGGGGGTTACTTTATATCACTTGAGAAAGAAAAAGGGACAGAGAGGATGACAGGCGCAGGGGCATCCCTTAAATAGACTGGAGGCAGGGGACAGCGCAGAAAGGCCGGGGCCAGGTGCCGTCGCAATAAGAGACTGAAGGAATAATCCATATGCCTTTTTTTTTATTTTATTATTATTATTTTCGGTTTCTTTCTTGTCACAATCAGCCCTGTCCAGTGTCTGCACCTCCTAGTAGCGGCAATGAAAGATGGTTAGATCCACTCAGGCCAAGCCCGACGGCTCAGCATCGTTGTTCACTTTCTTGTGGCTCTGCCTAGGTACTCCGTCTATTCAAGTGCTTGAATATACTGTGCTTAGTAGGAGTGGGTGGTCAAGGCTAGCTGGAGAAAGAGGCGGGCGAGACAGAGTACGTACTACTGTCTCGGGCAACCAATGCCAAGTCTACTTGCCCATAACACATCGAACACACCATTGCGACTAAACCCACTAGAGTCGGACTAAAGACGGAGACGAGACGGGAGACAATCATTAGACTGCAGACAGACAATGGAAAAGAATCCATATACGAACCACGGCAGGAAGGAGGTTTGCGTATGCCTCCTGCTATTTTTACTATTTTTGGCGGTCACAGCCTGTCGCCCAGGGCTGGCCCCCGCCAATAGAAGGCTTGTCCCGCCGATCTATCCATGGGCGACGGTGGTGAGATGCAACCAAGTTGAACCAACCCAACCTCACAAGAATAGTAATTTATTATTCTTTTTTGTTGTTCTTATTGTGATTCTTGAGTAGGTATTATGACCGGGTCCAGTGGCCCAGATACTAAGATTCCTATTCGAAAGTCTTCGACTAAACTTTCCACCCTCAGCAACAAAGCACATGCTGAATGGATCCATCCTTGCGAAGACAACACCAAATGCAATGCTCGCATGGGCCGATTCCTACTACATCCCAGCCATCCATTTCTATTTTTCCTACTACTGTACACCTCTCATCTGCATGCACTCTAGACTGAACCGTTCCATCCGAAGTGCAGTTTTAGTGTAACTCACCACTTGATCCTCTTGACTACAGTCTGTAGATTTGACCAGCCTCTTAATTAGCGATCCCCCAACGGGCACAGCACCCGTGGACCACAACGCGGGTCTAGCCGATGATGGATTCTCGCCCCTCTTCTCTGCCTCCCTCTCTGCCTCGGGTGGTGAGACCACAGGAAGTAAACTCCATGTCTGGTGCTGCACCCAGCAGACCGCGCTCCGAACCGCGCGTCCGGTGACTGGACCGAATTTTCTTCAGCATCACAAGCTCTTGAGCCTCCAACCGAATTTACCAAAACCCATCCTATACCAGTACACTATCGCTGCCACTGACGCGGTCCACGTAACGACCGTCAAAAGACGCCTCATCTTCAATCCTCACATTCAGCACTGACGTAAGATCATTACGATCCCTTGAAAGGGCGCACACTACGGTATTGCGATTCTAACAATTGCATACCCCCCAACTGAAAGTCTATTGTCTGTCTCATCCTATGATCCTTCTAGTCTGGGGATGGAGAAGCCAAGGAGCAGAAAGGAAATGAGCCTGACACCAAAACTGGGGTGCCAAGAGCATAACAACAGCTCCTTTTCTCTTGCATCTACAGAAGCAGCTGGTTGAATGGCCTGTCGTAGTCTATGTCCATTGCCCAAGAGCAATGTGCATGGCCCGGGGGGCGCTCTTGTCGATCCGCCAATTCGAGACACTAGGGCCAGAACAGTCTACCGTAAGGTACGGCCGTATCAGGGGTGACAAAATCTCCGGCAAGGCAAATCACATTTCCCAAGGCGATGCAAGGATGCTTGCTCTCACAGGAGTCAGCATGTTTCGATTGCTCTCATCCTTGCAATAGCAGTGGTCAAAGGATACAATATGAATGGCAGCACGGAGGAAAAGACAAGATTTTGGCCCGGCTGGCAAGGCGGTCACCATGCAAATAAAGGATTTCAGTCTTTAGACCCTTCAATTACTCGGTAGGTAAGCGACTCTTCATCTCATCCCGCCCTTGTCTCATCAGGCCAAGTTCGGTGGATTATGTATGACTGTGATACCCCAGGACTGCGGTGGAGCGCCTTTTCCGCCCGATGTCGCTAATTTGGACTAATTTGCGCTTGGGCGGCCGGCAGCCAATCATTAATGACTCGAGCTTCGATCGAGGGAGGCCTCAGCTTGAACCTGAAATCAGAGAGCGGTGGCCGGTACTCCGTACGGTGTGGTTGCTTTTTGATTCTACACCATTCGAGATGCGAAGGAGTGCCAGCGAACACCTCGGAAGAGAATGAGTGCGAGAGAAGGAGGATTCTTCTCGACTCAATTCCCTTGTCTTTTTACTCCGAATCCTTGTACGCCATTCCCCGTATGTTCGAGAATAGTTCCACTTCTTGTCCTCCTTCCCCCCATACTCCGTTCTGTGCTCCGTACTCCGTACTTTGTCACCCTCCCCATTGTCGTGATATGTCTTAGACGAGCAAGGCCCGATCACTTTGACTCTGCCGCTGTGCCGTCCTAGACCGCTGCGCTTATTTCCTCGTTGCCCTTCCCCCACTCAGCCAAATACAAGGCTTAATCATGGACTTCATTGGGTAGGTTTCCTCCTGTCCGTCTTGGGATACGAACAAAAGTGGCCCAGATCTCCATCCACTGCACCCTGAGTAGACTGGCTAGCCGGCCACATGACACTTGGGGGTTAAAAGGGTACTTCTTGCCCCGTGAAGATTGCTGCTTCCAGCTGTCGACAGAACTCAAGTGCTTTTCATCTTGTACCGCGTTGACCTGATCATTTGGATCTCGATGAGTTGAGTTGCTATACCTCAACCAGTCGGTCGACTCGGTTATATAGCACAGATGGAAACAACACATCCCAACTAAAACAGGATAAGTATATGAGATACAGAAGACGCTGGTGTTTGCAAACTCATTCATACTCATACATGTGCTCATAATCCACACGATAAGAGAACATGGACTCTTACGCATATCTTGTATCTTGTCTCGTGCAGAATCTCCCGCGCAAGGACTACAGACAAACCCCAGCGAGCGTCATTGCCTCAACCTACATCCAAAATACCAGACTCGACTCCTTCAAGCCCGTATTCCCATTTCCTGATAATCCCACATCCCACATCTGCACTAATCACCCTTCGAAACAATACCCCGTACATCCCGATACTTTGGACCTCCTCCCCCTCCCCCCCAACCCCCCGGACTCGATCTATCTCGGCCACAGGGGCAGGGTTTTGTATCTGCATGTCATAAAACTGATCGTCAAGTTTAACTCGAGAATGGTCGTGGAATGTTTTGCATGCAGCCAGCATTACGACGGCAAGAAGCGTAGACCACCGGTTCTTGGAGGAGGAACGATACGGACCAGCACGTTCTTCTCCCAGTCTTCCCCAGGGGCTATGGCTGAAACACAGAATTGGGTTCGTACTGATGTAACCCCTGGGTGTTTGAGCATGTCCGTGAGATGGAGATTTCGTCGAACATGGCTGGTTTGTTTGGACGTCTGGAAGAATCGAGGGGATTTTTAGGTGGGTGTATTCGGTTTTGAGGCGATGTATAGGATGAATCTGGGCGTCGAATGGGGCCAGGGGGGGGCACGTAGACATATACAGAGTCAAGTGCTCGCACGCCTCTCCTCTGCCCGGAGTAGTAAATCAAGAAGCCAAGGTCTCAGCAAACTGCTCAGCAGAGAAGAGACACAACCTTGAACCCAACCCAGCTCACCGGTCCAGCCTCAACTCCATCAAACCAAGCGTAGGGACAGCACAGTAGCCCCAAGTAAAATAGCCAGCCCACCGAACACCAAGAAACCAGCAAGCCAACCACACGACCCTCGATTACTCCCTAGGAAAGAAACCATAATATACAATAACCCTCTTCCCTAATCTACCTACCCAGACCATCCCTCTTGCTTTATCCTCAGAGAACACAACCTCCCCCACAAGCCCAACCGGACCCCATCCACCCCAAAACCACAACCCAGAGACAGAGCATCATTGCTTCTCCTCAACCACCTCCCCCAAGTCCGTCGCCCGGATCCAATCCGCAAACTCCTTTCTCTTCGCCTATACGCCCAACAATCATCATTAGCCATCGCCAGGTTCTCTAAATTCTCACCCTCACCCGAGACCCCCCGGGCTACCTTAGAAACACAACCCCCTCCCAAGGCAAGTACACCGAAGGAGAAGAACATACCCTAACATCCCAAAACCCATACCGCTCCTCCAACCGCCGATACGGATGACGCCCTTTCCCCTCGCGCTCGATCTGGCCCGCCCATTCGCTCCAGCTAATGGGTTTGAGTTTCTCGGTGCCCAGGACAAGGCCCACGGAGACAATGATCAATGACACCAGGGCTTCGATGATGATGTCCGGCGGGAGGTGCGTGGTTGTTGTGGTGGTGGTGGAGTGGAGCGGGTTGAGGCGGGAGCTGCTGGTGCTGCTGGTTAGGAGGGTGTGTTCGTGGGCAGAGTAGCCTCTGTGTTTCCGGGGGTGTTAGCTTTGGGTATGGTTTTCAGGGAGAAAGATGGGGGGGAAAGGGGGTTTGAAGGTGTTTGCTGTGAAGCACCGCTGGGGCGTATGGGGATTGTGGTGGGTTGTATGCATGAAGCTGGACTTACGCATGGGCGAGCAAGACCAACCCGAATAGGGTGAGGAGGCGGGAGAAGAATCCCATTTTGTGCTGGTGGTGGAACTGGGAAGCTTGTTGTCCCGGGTAGGTTGTTTTGGAAATTGCAAGAGGACGTCAATTCAGTGCAATATAGTTACTAAGGTAGTAGCTACCACTTGCCCTGGTGTATCGGGATCGGATCTGCGGAGGTGGTTGGTACGGTAGACTGGAATGACCTGGACTGCAAGCAAGCCTAGTGCCCGCGGGCTACATCGACGGCGGCTGCACATGTCTGAAATGATGACGGCCCCACGAGATTGGGCAGCATTGACCTTTGGCCTGCTCGCTACGCATTGGCTCAGCTTCGCAGCTAGCTTGCAGCTGTCTACCGGTGTTTGCTGATGAGGGGTTAAACTGAGGGGCATTGCTACTAATAATGCAAGAAACAAAAATGAATTGGGTATAATTTGTGATTTTTTTTATTATTCGTCACGCCAATCGAGGCGGCTTTTATTTATTTATTCAAGGTCATGACAGTAAATTCCCGTGGAATAACATCAAATAATCCATCGTCACACCATAGGGTTTAGTTCATCAAGAATCATTTACAGCTTCTGCATGGCAGCCTGTAGGTAGAAAGTTAGTACCGACGCGAGCTGAGTAGGGCTTAAAGCGATAAAACTTACAACATCGGTGGACTGGACGTGGTCCTCGTCCTCCTCGATCTGCTGCTGGAGCTCATCCAGGGAGACCTTCTCGTCCTCAACGACAAGGTTGATCTGGAGCTTCTTGATACCGAAACCAACGGCAACAAACTTGGAAGCACCCCAGACGAGACCGTCCATCTCAATGGCACGGACGTTGGCCTCCATCTGCTGGATGTCGGTCTCATCATCTGTTACTGGTTAGTAGCTGCGTATTTTGGTAGTCAGATAATGGCAGAACATACCCCAGGGCTTGACATCCAGGGTCACGATGGACTTGGCGGCGGGCTTGGGGCCCTTGGCCTCCTTCTTCTTCTTGTACTCGGCAAGACGAGCCTCACGCTCCTTGACGGCCTCAGCGTCCTCCTCCTCATCGTCATCGGAGCCGAAGAGGTCCATGTCGTCATCCTCAGCAGCGGGCTTGTCCTTGGGGTTGGTGGGGAGCTCGGTGGCCTCAGGGCCGTAGGTGGTGTACTCCTTGGAGGCATCACCGGGGAGGGTGGAGAACTCAGCCTCGTAGGAGGCGATGTGCTTGTACCAGCGGGCAACGTTGGGGTACTTCTCGGCGTCAGGAGCACCGGAGAAAGCCTTGAAGGTCACGACATCGGCCTGGGAGGGAGCATCGCTTCAATGGAGTTAGCCAAAGTCCATCATCATGGTACGACAAGGTGTCGATGGGTTGAAAAATCAGATCAGGCAGAATTGCAACAGAATGAAAAGGTTTTCCAAGTAATCAGAAGCGCGATTGCTCGCATTGTTGTGTAATCTTGCAGCGGGGTCTTAAGCCGCCTCATAAACACGGACCAATTTGTTTTCATCATACAAACAAGGAAAGAAACCTTGAACAAGAAGGGGAAAGAGGAGTAAACATCATCAAGAGTGCCTTACCCAACAATGTAGCTCCGGGAAGCCAGGTAGTTGTTGGCGACTGAGGGGCACAATTAGTGACTGCTAGAGACAGAAAGGGACAGAAAGGAAGAAAAAGACGTAGGGAATGACATACGGGTGAGGCCGGCGTCGGAAACGAAGTCAGTGAAACCCATTGTGAAAGTATGTGTATGTGAAGAGTGTGGTGTAAGAAGAAGAAAAAAAGGAGGGGGAGGGGAGAAGGAGGGAATAAATAGGAGGAGGAGAAGAAGAAGGAGGGGAAAGGTGTTCTGAAGTAATTTTTTCAATTTTCCACCTTTCCACCTTCCACCACTCCAGGGCCCTGCCTGAGAGGTCGAAAATTTTCGGGCGACGCCCACAGCGCCCCTCCTTTTGGGGCTGCACGTGATCTTGACGGTGGACGGATTCGAAGAGCTTGGAAGAAAGCCCGCAAAGCGACCTTCCAAAGTCTGGAAAGGCTGGCCCAGTTCGGGGAGCTTCCGCCACTCACCGTTACTCACTTCCTCACCCAGGTGGAGCCTTCGAGAACACTCGCGACGTTGGGGGGCAACCGGCTATATAGTCGTGGTGATGCACCCTTTGCGACTGATCGCGAAATTCAACATATAGACCCATATTTTACAGTCGAAACACACAGATTGAAGCTTGTCTTGAGCTTAAATCCTCTACACGGTCTGATCTCGACCATGTCGGCAAGACTGCAGCTATCCCGAGCTCGGTTGCTCCGACCCTCGACTCTATCGTCATCGAACCGGATCCTTCAACCGTCCCAAGCTTTATTACGTCGCACTAGATTATTACCAACCTTATCAAGCACCACCAATCTTCACAATCCTCGCTCGCTAATACCCTCGCGCAATTACGCCAATGGCCGGCCTCATCCCCCAGGAGGCACGCATCGGATGAACCTCGGTGGCGAACCCGAGAAGTCAGCATTGGAACAATTCGGTGTCGATCTTACTGCTAAAGCCAAAGCGGGCAAACTCGACCCCGTCATCGGGCGAGATGCTGAGATTCATCGCACCATCCAGGTCCTTTCCAGGCGGACGAAAAATAACCCTGTGCTCATCGGAGCCGCAGGCACTGGTAAAACCGCGGTCTTGGAGGGTTTGGCCCAGCGCATTGTTCAAGGAGATGTCCCGGAAAGTATCAAGGACAAGCGTGTTATCTCCTTGGATTTGGGTTCCCTCATCGCAGGTGCCAAATTCAGAGGTGATTTCGAGGAACGTTTGAAATCCGTCCTGAAGGAGGTCGAGGAGGCGCAAGGGGGCGTGATTCTCTTCATCGATGAGTTGCACACTCTGCTGGGACTTGGTAAGGCCGAAGGCAGTATCGATGCCAGCAACCTTTTGAAACCAGCACTGTCGAGAGGAGACCTCCAGTGCTGCGGAGCCACCACCCTGAACGAGTACCGCTTGATCGAGAAAGATGTGGCCCTTGCCAGACGTTTCCAGCCGATCCAAGTCGGCGAGCCATCGGTCGCTGCAACAATCTCCATTCTACGCGGTATCAAGAACAAGTATGAAGTCCACCATGGTGTACGGATCACCGACGGCGCATTGGTGGCCGCCGCAACGTACAGCAACCGCTATATCACCGATCGTTTCCTGCCAGACAAGGCCATCGACTTGGTGGATGAAGCAGCTTCGGCCTTGCGACTGCAGCAGGAATCGAAGCCGGATGTGATCAGAGAATTGGATCGCGACATTACCACCATTCAGATTGAATTGGAATCTCTCCGCAAAGAAACCGACGTCAGCAGCCGCGAAAGACGCGAGAAGCTACAGGAAGATTTAAAAGCAAAGCAGGAGGAAGCGGAAAGGCTGACTAAGATCTGGGAGAAGGAGAAAGCTGAAATCGAAGAGCTCAAACGCGTCAAGGAAGAGCTAGAGCGAGCACGGTTCGAGTTGGAGCAGGCCCAAAGAGAGGGAAATTTCGCCAAGGCTGGTGAACTGAGATATGCCACTATTCCCAGTCTTGAAGCCAAACTACCAAAAGAAGGAGATGAAGCAACAGCCGGCACTTCCTCTAGCCTCATCCACGACTCAGTCACTGCCGACGATATTGGAAATGTCGTTTCGCGGACAACTGGTATCCCCGTTAACAAGCTCATGGCTGGTGAAGTCGAGAAACTCATCCGCATGGAGGACACGCTACGTCAGTCAGTGCGTGGTCAGGACGAGGCGCTTTCTGCAGTCGCTAATGCAGTTCGCATGCAGCGAGCAGGCCTTAGCGGGGAGAATCGCCCTCTAGCCTCTTTCATGTTCCTTGGACCCACCGGCGTTGGAAAGACCGAGCTCTGCAAGAAGATGGCTGAATTCCTGTTCTCGACCGAAACCGCCGTTGTACGGTTTGATATGAGCGAGTTCCAAGAGAAGCATACTATCAGTCGCTTGATCGGCTCTCCTGCTGGTTATGTGGGCTACGACGATGCCGGCCAGCTGACGGAAGCTGTCCGACGCAAGCCGTACGCAGTGCTGCTCTTTGATGAGTTCGAAAAGGCCCACCGTGACATTTCCGCTCTTTTGTTGCAGGTCCTCGATGAGGGCTTCTTGACGGATGCTCAAGGTCACAAGGTTGACTTCAGGAACACCCTCATTGTTCTTACTTCGAACCTTGGTGCCCAAATCCTGGTGGGAGCTGACCCGTCGTACTCTTCCAAGGATACAGGAAGCGCAGAGCTTTCTCCCGAGGTCAAGAAATCGGTCATGGATGTCGTGCAGTCTGCTTACCCACCAGAATTCCTCAACCGTATTGACGAGTTCATCATTTTCAAGAGACTGTCCCGCGAAGCTTTGAGAGACATCGTCGACATCAGAATCAAGGAGCTCCAATCGAGACTTGATGATCGACGTATGGTTCTCAAGGTCGACGATGAGATTAAGGACTGGCTCTGTGAGAAGGGTTATGACCCCAAGTATGGTGCTCGTCCTCTCAACCGTCTCATTGCCAAGGAGATTGGCAACAGACTGGCCGATAAGATCATCCGTGGCGAGGTCACGGCTGGCCAGACTGCCCGCGTATCTTTCAATGAAGAAAAGAATGGGCTAGCCATTATTGCGGAGGCTGCTCCTGAAGCAAAAGCTGAAAATGCTTAAGCAATGATTATCTCTTAACTCATGTTGATCATGATGTACGGTTCTTGGCGCAAGGTTAGCTGGATATCTGACTCGCTGATCGATAATTCACATGTCTCCTCTTTAATGTATTATAGCATCAATGTACTATATAACATGAATTGAACGTAAATGCGCTGCATTTAACTTAAGAAAATCTCAGTACCATAGTTGTTGTAGTTGGATGCCTTAGGCTAAAGCAATTTGAGAGATGGCTTTGCGCTGCTACTCCATAAGTCGAGACTCCTGCAGACGTACCCAATCCGGATCACTCAACCTCGACATCGGCACGATGCTGAGATCTTCTGTGAAAAGAAGGCGTACTGTCTATGAGTCTGTGTCTCCCCAGGGCTCTACCAACGCCAGGCTGGCAACGCATGGCTCCTCACAGCGTGTGCGCCAACCCAGCATCCTGCCGCCCAGTCCACAATTTCCACACGAGGCAACACAAGCACGACAGAATCTTCCTGATGGCGATCTATCCTTGCATGCAGCCGACGATGAACTAGATCAAGTCATCGTAGCCATCGATAGCCGGGAATCTGGAACTGTGGGATGCTCCTACTGCTCTGTCCGAGAAGAGAAGCTCTACCTGCTGGGAGACTTACGACACTCAGACTCCGAAGTTATCGACAGCTGTAGGTCTTGTCCTTTCTGGTGAGCTTAGAAGGCTGACAAGGTACTAGTAATTCTCCAGACTAGCCCTACGATGCTTCTGCTCTCACCTCGTGTGGACCACAACGCCCTCCAAGATAGGCAAATGAACAGCGGTATGTTAGGAGCACAGATCAATCCTCAGAGGTCTAATAAAGCTTCATTGTGCAGAAAGCGGGTCTTTACTCCCATTCCAGCTAGACATCCGTCCATCGCAGGAATTCGGCTACGAGAACGCAAAGAATAAGCTGGTGGCTCTGGGGATATCCTCGAAGCACGAGCAACGGATGCGGTTCCTCGTGCCACACAATGGGTTCGCTGACAGTGAACAGATAGACTCCGAGAGCCTGGACTTCACCCTGCAAGAAGGCAAGCTGCTGCACATATCGAGCTCGATCGAGATGGAAAACACGGTGACGATCGGCTGCGCGGGCGCTCTCCTCAACCTGCAACGGCGAAGAGCCTCTGCCTTTATAGCTACCAATCAGGCTTCGGAGACATATCGGGTGACATCTGTGGAGATGTTCAGCCTGCTGGAAACGATGTGAGTGATGAGACCTGGCTTGTATTCTGGGCCCAAGATCTAATGACAGTGAAGGTTCGTTAATAAGAGGACTCTCTCATCGCTTCAGATCATGGAGTCAGAATCCCATCCTAGCATGGTTAACCAAGGCAGAAAGTCCAACTTCTCCAAAGAGGGTTTATCGGTCTATGGTCTGTTTCAGCGCTTCGCGCGTACACCCCAGGGCAAGAATCGACTGAAGCAAATGTTTCTTCGTCCTAGCGTAGATGTCGATGTCATCCAGGAACGGCACGCCCTGATTAGCGTTTACCTAAGAGCCGACAACTACAGTTCTCTGGAGAAATTGACCAAGAATTTCAAGCACATCAAGAACTTGCGCTATGTCATGGTGAACCTGCGCAAGGGCATCGAGACAGGTAGTGGGAAAGTCATGGGTTTCAAAACGACGGCTTGGGCTTCGTTGCTGGCCGTATGTCATCATGCACAGTGCTCATTTTTCAAGTCAATGCTTACTCGAGACAGTTTGCCTTTTATGGCATCGACATATATGATGCCTTGAGAGAAAGTGCTGGTGCTGATGGATTAGCCCTACATCAGCGGGTCAGTCGGATATTCGGCTCAGTGTCACCTTTGCTAATGAGGCCTAGGCTATTCGTGTCTTCGAGGCAGCTCAGCTATACAGGGTGGGAAGAATGATTCAAGAAATTGTAAGTCGTGCACATTCGTCTGTTGGCCTTGGCTAATTCTTCAAAGGTCGACATTGATAGCTCGGAGGAACAAGGAAGAACGGTCGTAAAGCCGGGGATCGATCGAGCACTCGACCGAATGAAAGACAATTATGATGGGCTCAACAGCCTGCTCAAGAGGATCGCTAGAGAGATTGCTGGGGAGATTCCTGAGTTCTATGGTATCGATGTGAACGTTATCTATTTCCCCCAGCTCGGCTTCAACATCGCGATACCATTGAACCAGGCGGGTGATGCCGCATACAGGGGTCCAGAAGAGGAATGGGATCTCATGTTCTTCACAGAGAACAGGGCTTACTTCAAAGACTTTAGAATGAGAGAACTGGACGATAAACTAGGCGATATATACGGTCTCATATGCGGTATGGCGCGCTTCGTCTTTGTACTTGCTCGCAACATGGGATCTGACGCTCTTGAATTCCTACCAGAAAAGGAGATCGAGATAGTGTACGATCTCGCGCAAAGGTTGCTCCGGTATGAAAGATATCTGCTCGAGGCATCTGACATTTGTGGCCAGCTTGATAGGTATCTCTTTCCCCCGATGTACGGACTTGACGTATCACTAAGCTCCTAGCCTCCTTGCAATGGCTCAAGCAGCAAATTTCTATAAGCTCGTCTGTCCTAAAATGGTGCCTGAGAACATTATCAAGATAAGAGGTGGTCGGTAAGCAAGCCACTTGTGATTCATATATTGGGTCTAACATCACAGAAGACACATCTTGCAGGAGTTGACGGTTTCCTCGTATGTGCCAAACGACACCTATTTGATGGGTGGAAACCCATCAGGTTGCCTAGCCATTTCATCGAGCCAGACATGCCAAGACAGCCCCGATGAGACGAATGACGAGCATGGCCCAAGCATGCTTCTCTTGACAGGACCGAACTATTCAGGAAAGAGTGTGTACATGAAACAAGTACGTTCGATCCCTTCTTGCAAACGAGCGGCTGAAACTAAGTCTGTAGGTTGCTCTGATTGCCTACCTTGCGCAGATCGGAAGGTTTGCGAGAATCTTCCCCCTAAGACCATTTCAGCAAAATGCTAAGATGGTTGATCAGCTTCGTGCCAGCAGCCAGCGCAGAGCTTGGGATAACCGACAAGATCATAGTCAAATCGAGTACTCAAGATAGCGTCTCGCAGGTGCAAACCAGCCTATCCAGTCAATGAAGAAACTAATATGGATTCCCACTGACTATCCTGCGCGAGAGATAGATTCAAAGCACCTTCATGCGCGACCTGCAACAAATCTCCTTCGATCTAAAGCAAATCACTGACCGCAGCTTGCTAATCATTGACGAATTCGGCAAAGGCACCAGCGAAAACGGTCAGTTCTCTTCAACCAAAAGTCCTACATCGGGCTGGACACAGAAAACTGAAAATCCAGGCGAATATGAATAGATGGCATTGGTCTAGCCTGCGGTATCCTCACACACCTGCTTGATCTCGAACACTCACCAAAAGTCATCGCTGCCACGCACTTCCACGAAATCCTCGAGAACGGCTTTCTAAGACCCAGACCCCAGCTACAATTAGGACACATGGAGGTCCAAGTATCCGACTCATCACATAAGACTGAAGACCAGATCACCTACCTCTACAAGTGAGCCTCTTTTCGGCTTTCTTAGTCATGAATTTGTGGATATGCATGCTGATATACTGGTTTTTCTTCTCAACCAGCTTCCGACCCGGACGAAGCGATAAGAGCTTCGGAACAGTGTATGCATCCCCACATTGCGAGATCATATCGGAATTCATGCTGACGTATTTCGATGAAGCTGCGCTGCGATGAACGGTATCAGTCAGGCTGTTGTGGACCGGGCGACCGAAATTGCGGCCCTCTCGGCGCGTGGTGAGAACTTGATCGCAGCGTGCGCTACGCTCTCGGCTGAGGAGATGCGCGTCCTGGAACAAGCGGTATGTGTGATTTTGCTTGCTTTTATATCAGGAGACAGAGACTCAGAGAATCATAGGATACGCTCGCGAGGAAGTTCGTGGCCCTAGATCTTTCGGAGTATGATGAGTCGATTGATGTCACGGATGTGCTCGTGAAATTGATTGAGAATTCGTAGGTGGAGTGCGAGAGTGATAGTTTTGACTACACAATCAACAACGTATCCCTCCTTAGTCAACTACTTACTACTGACGGCATAGTGAAGGCGGACGATGAAGACATAGTGGACAATGTTTGTATCATCAAATGGATTATGTATGTACAAGTAAGAAAAACCCTCCTTTTTAGCACACAGAAAACGCCGGTGAGAAGCAGCAGTGGTATATATCCATCGAATGAAGAAACGGGACTAGAGCTTGACACTCTTGACCAAGTTCTTCTTGATACCCGTAAGTTCACCACCATATCCACCGCGGCCTTCACCGCCCTTGTATACCTGGCGCATGCTACCCAGCTTCTTCTTCTTCTCCTCGAACTTCTTCCTCTTCTTGACACGCGGGTTGCGAGAGTCCTTGCTGCGCTTGGGAGCAAGACCCTTGTTCTTTTCGATCTGGTAGGTGATGGCACGCTTGCCATCGGGCCCGACCTCCTCCTGGAAGTGCACCTCGCCGCCTTCACGGGCAGCGGCGGCGTGAGCCTCTGCGCGCGCCTTCTTGTCGTCCTTTCGTTGTTTGGAGCGCGCTGCAACCATATCGTAGTAATCGTCACTATCGGACTCGTCACCGCGGAGTTGCTTGGCCACCCGGTTATCCTCCTCGTCACTGTCACCCCCAAGCTGCTCGGACTCCTTGAGTGCCTGCTTACCACGCCTCTCGGCCTCGGCGTTGAGGCGAGCCTGGCGATCCCGCAGACGCTCACGGTAAGGCAAGTCTGCATCACCACCAGCATCGCGACCGGCTGCGCTACGCTTGTTGGCCTTCTGCGCAAGCTGGGAGGTGTAGAAGCGGAGAGAGCGCTTCTGCTTGGCCTTCTCCTCGGCTTCCTTGGCAGTGAGAGCATCCTCATCACCGAAGTCCGAGTCGTCTTCATCCTTGGCCACCGTCTGGATCTTCTGAGCAGCGCGTTTCTTGCTGGGCGCAGTGACCAGCTTGGAGAGATCGGCCAGATTGGCTTCGGTCTCCTCCAGTCTCTTCGCTCTCCGGGCTTCCGCTTCCGCCTGGCGGGCTTCGGCTGCCAGTTGTGCCTTGGTCTTCTTCTTCTGCTTCTTGTCCTTCTGCTCCTTCTTCGTCGGCATCTCGACTTCGGAAACATCCGAGAGTTCGTCTTCCTCAAGCTCGTCTTCGGAGATGTCGGAGGGTTCGGATTCGGGCTCGCGCAGGTCCTTGACAGACTCCCAGAGTTTCCTGAACTTGACGAGAGTGGCCATCACAGGGTGTGCGCGGAGCTCGGCGGGGGAGAGGGGAACGGGCTTGCCAGACGCGTCCTTGGCGGAGGTCAGGAGCATGAAGTATAGGCTGATGGTACCGAGGTAGGCGGAGAGGGCACGGAACTTGACGACGGCGACGGGCGCATAGTCGGGGGCGTCCTCAGAGTCATCCTCGGCGTTGAACGTTTCGACGGCCTTCTTGAGCTCCTGGAGGGTGGGTTGGAGTTCGAGGAAGTGTTTCGACAGCGGCTCGAATTCAGGATATCTCGACTTGAGGATCTTCAGCTTCTCATCCGTGCTCATATCCTCTGTGATCTCCACTTGTGGGAGGACTTCCGTCACTTCTCCACCGTCTTCCCCCGCATCGTCCGCCTTTCCGGATTCGGCCCATTCCGTCTCGTCGAAACCGAAATCCTCCTCGTTCATGCTTTGCAGGTGCTTCTGTTGGAGTCTCTTGGCCTCTTCTTCTTCTTCGAGCGCATCGGCTTCCGTCTCGATCTGGTCGGCATTGTAGAAGTCCTTCTTCGAAGAGCCCCAGGCGGCAAGGCCTTCTTCCTCGTCCTCGGAATCGGCTCCCTGGCTACCCGCACGCTTCTTGGATTTCGATGGCATATCGTCCATTGCATCGTCGTCGTATCCGTCCTCTTGGTAGTCGTCCTCGTCGTCCTCATCGTCCTCGTCCGCTGAATCATAGCCCATAATCTCCTCGTCCGATGGCTGCAACATTGCCTCTGTGATCACATTCGGTCAGAATCAGTACTGTAAGGATTATGAGAGCTAATTGGAGTCGGCCTACCATCTTCAGCTACCTTGCGACGACGCTTTGCCTCTGGTGCTTCCTCCAACAGAATCTGATCGCGACCGGTTTGGAACTCATCCTCGGAATCGTCGAATCTCTCCTCAATGTCAAATTTAGAGGGCCCGAAGTTGTCTTGCTTGGGCGCCGCAGGGCGACCACCGGCCTTTCTTTTCTTACCCATGATAAGCGTTGGTAAGGTGTAGTATAGGGACTGTGGATGTGAAGCTATACCCTCCGCTCCGGTTTCGATAAACTTTTGCGATAGAATTTTGGGAGGGACGCTCACCGCCCGGGTGACGCTAGCCCGGAAAAGCGAGCAGAGTGGAGGACGGTTTGCACCGTTTGCTTCCGGGTGGGACGGGAAGGTCTACCGAGGCCGCAGATGTTCCTTCCAGTTGAGCATCAGAAGATTCAACATTCAACAACAATCCCAAACCAATTGTTCGAAAATAGTAGGTGCTGGTCGCTCTTGACAAGGATAGGAAGAACCCCCCTCTGTGGACTTTCAATCTCTCAAACTCCATCTGTCTTGAATCTCTTTCTCCTCTTCCCCATGCATCAACTTCTATCCTTCATCCATTACGATTCTTCCCCAACTATATTGGGAGTTTCGACCATTCTCTGCGGAATACTTCTCTATACCGTCAGCAAGATGCTCGGCTTCGGATCTCGTAATCAATTCGTTGTTGAGGGCAGGGTATGTCTTGTTCCATGATTTGATTACTTCCGAGCAGTGCACTGATTCATTTGTTGTTATGTAGACCGCAGTGATCACTGGCGGCTCCGAGGGCATGGGCAAGGCAGTCGCTTGCCAGCTGGCTGAAATGGGGGCCAACGTCGTGATTGTGGCACGAACTGCTTCCAAGCTTCAGGCTGCGATTGAGACCATGAAGGTAAGTCATCCTGCTATTCTTGCTAAGTTCAACGCTCATGGTTATTATAGCGAGTGGCGGACAATGTTGAGCGGCAAAGGTTCCACTACATCAGTGCGGACTTGACGGACCCTGCAGAGTGCCAACGTATCATGGCCGAGGTCACCGAATGGAACGATGGACAAGAGCCTGATATCGTCTGGTGCTGCGCCGGATACTGCCATCCTGGGTTCTTCACCGAGACATCCATCAAGTCGCTACGGGATCAGATGGATACCGTGTACTGGACTGCAGCCAACACGGCCCATGCCACTCTGCAGCGGTGGCTTACCCCTATCAGCCCGAGTCGGCAAGCTCCAATTCCAACCAGACACCTCATATTCACCTGCTCCACGCTCGCCTTTGTGCCTATTGCGGGCTACGCTCCCTACTCCCCAGCCAAGGCAGCTATTCGCTCTTTGTCCGACACTCTCTGCCAGGAGATTGAAATCTACAATGGTTCTCGTACCTCCAAGGCACGCTGCGAGGCTCCAGCGGCAGATGTCAAGATCCATACGGTCTTCCCCATGGGGATCTTGAGCCCAGGCTTCGACAACGAACAGAAACTCAAGCCAGCTTTGACTAAACAGCTGGAGGAGGCCGACAAGCCACAGACCCCTCAGGAGGTTGCAAGCATCGCGATTAGTGCCCTTGAGCGAGGCGAATACTTGATTACGACGATGTTCGTGGGCGACCTCATGAAAGGGTCGGCTCTTGGACCCAGCCCACGGAATTCCATCATCAAAGACACATTGACAGGTTGGCTCAGTAACTTGGTCTTTCCTGGGGTGATCTTCGACCTGCGACGGAAGGCCTGGAAGTGGGGAGTGAAGCACGGTCTTCCTACCAACCCTGATGGCAATTGAAGTGTCGTGCTAGTTGCCCTGCTTTGAGTCCTTGTTGCCTGGTCTATGTCCTAGATACCCGGAGCTGCGTTCCCCATTCTTGCAGCCATTATTATCTTCAGTCCTAATGAACATGTACATATAGCCGTAGTCTTAATCCATGCTTCATTGTCCGACACATTCCTTGCATGTCTCTTCACATAAATAGCTACAGAGAATCGGAGTTGAGAGCGCAGGCTTCATTGAAACCAAGGATGATAGTTCGAGATTCTTTGGTGCGCTTGTTTCGTTGCTTTGTTGAGGTTGAAGACAAGGAAGATAGAATTGGTGGCTTGGGTGAGCCGAGAAAGCGAAGGCGGGCTGCACCAAATCAGTCGGAGCCAAGCACCCGCGGCTTATCCACGGTGGGGGGGTTTTTTGGTCGCGTTATCCAACATCCAACCATCGCAGTCACAGCCAGCTTCTTTCAAGTCGCAAAATCGGGATGGCTATATAGTCTTCGCTCGAGTATCGCCGTCTTCGTGGGACGTTATCGAGTTAAGCTATAGCAGCAGCATCGCGCGTGACGACAGAAGGTTCGCAACGCCGTTGCTATACGAGAAATATATATATTTGCTGGTATAAATAAACATTGCCCATTCACATATCCAATTTATCGCTATTGATACGTCGGTCAAATCGACCGGTCACAACAATGAACGCATTGTTCGCGCTTCCGATTTTCTCTCTCCTCATCGCCCCAGTGTGGGCTTTCTGCGGCACCAGCGTCAATTTTATCTTCTTTTACATGACATGGGCGACCCTGGTGCTGTCGCATACGGCTCTCCGCGTTGAGCTGGTGGGCACTGCCACCGTGCGGGTGCTGTGCTATGCTCTTCCCTCGCTCCTGTTCTTCCTGTTCGACATCCTGACGCCCTCGGCCGCCGTGCTCCTCAAGGCCCAAGGGGAGTACGGACTGCCCAACGGCAACAAACGGGGTAGGATCCGGCGCAAGGACCTCAAAGTCGCCGTGTGGGCGCTCTTCAATCTGGCCCTGGGTGTCGCCGTCCAAGGTGCCATTGAACATACCCTTGCCCGCCGCTTTCGCAAGGTGAGCCTTGTGCGAGTGACGCTGAAGCTTCCGCTCCCATGGTCTCTGGTCTGGGAGATCTTTTGGGGATTGATTCTACGAGAGGTGCGCATTCATCCCACCGTTTCTCCCTTGCTCTTCCTTTTTCTGTTTCTTCTTTGTTTACCCGTTTACTAACTTGCAAACGCCGCGAGAATAAGATGCTCAGCTACATCATCCACCGCTGGATCCTGCACACCAAGAACCCCCTCGCCCGCCTCCACGCCGCCTGGTACCACGCCCTGCGCGCCCCCTACCCGCTCACCGCACACTACGACCACCCGCTCGCCTACCTGGTCGGCCGCTGGCTCCCCACCATCCTCCCCGTCGCCCTGGGCCGCCTACACCTGGTCACCTACCTAGTCTACCTGGCCATCATCTCCCTGGAGGAGACCTTCGCGTACAGTGGGTACTCCGCGATGCCGACGGGGTTCTTCATCGGCGGCATGGCGCGCAACACCGAAGCGCACCTCCACAGCCTGGGCACGGGCAACTTCGGACCCTGGGGGGTGGTGGACCGCGTGCTGGGCACGACCGTCGACGAGGAGTACGTCGCCGACCCCCCCACGCCGCCGCGGCTGCGGCTGCGTCGGCGGCCGAATAGCGGGAGAGAGGAGGAAGACAAGGAAGAGAAGGAGAAGGAACGGGCTCCTCCTCATTCTCATCGTCGTCGGCATCACCTCCAACGCCAGGCGATTGTGCTGGCGCAGGATCTCAAGGATTATGCTGATAATGAGTTTGTTGTTGACAATGGTGAGAATATTGTTCCTGTGGGTGAAGAGGATGATGATGATGATGTTTTGGGGGTGGGGATGGAGCCCCCCGCGCCGCAGTTGCGGCGGGTGAAGAATTATTGGGCTGGCGAGCCGAAGGTTCGGCGGACTACGAGGGGGGCGAGGCGGAGGGAGGGCGGAGGGTGAACCTCGATTGAGGGGTGGATTTTAAGCTGTTGGTGTTGTTGGTGTTGGTGGTGCATTTTGTGCGGGTGTGTTTGATGGTTCATTGTTTTTGGTGGTTACGTCATGTCATGCCTCGAGGGTATGAATACTTGAGTATATGTACTGTACTGCACTGTACTGTACGGCTTTGGGGTTCAAAAAGGGAGTGAGGTCGTGGGATCTACGAGCAAGTTGTATAGATTCTGTATAGATTGTCCTCTTTAGTTTGTAAATGATCTGTTCATTGTGATTGAATTGGGGGTTTTGGTTTTCTGTCTGTTTGTGCGATTTTCGGGCTGTGTGGGGGAGAGACAGCTGAGAGTTGGAGTGATCTTCTTATCGGAGTTGGGGTTGTCTACTCCGTAGTTGATTGGGCCCGCTTATCTACATTGCCTGAGTGGGAGAAGAGGATTGAGATCGGAGGAAACGCACAACTTCGGGGTCTAGCCGATTTGGAATTGTTACTTTACAAGAGGTACTATCAGACCTCGCTATAACGAACCAGAGTGGCATCTGTCTATAGCAGGAAATCTGTTACCTGGTAAGTTATGTAGATGTCACTTTGTATGTAGATCGCTAAAGGATGTGGAACAACAAATTTGTTAAATGCAGGTATTCGTTGTAGTGAGGCTCGTTATAGCAAGGATCCACAGTACTTGTAGTGCTGTACATAATAAGGAGTTCCTTGCCAGGAGTGATTGATAAACCACCAACTTTGCTGGTCAGAGAGCATTTTGCTTTATTGGGAGCTTGGGTTAGGCTTAGCGAGGTCGTCACAAGAGGTTCTTATGATACTCGAGTAGATATACATAGTATATACATGCTGTGATTTGAGCCAGAAGTCATAATGTCATGGTCTGTCTATGATAATATATCATCATCGGCCTAGAAATCTGAAACAAGAGGGTTGTCAAATGAAGTTTAGTTGACGACACCGGCACTGCTGGAATACTGATGGTAGTTTGTCATAAACATAATTTGCTCTAGGAATCTTATGTACCGCCAGAACCGGGTATTGGGAAACAGAGATCTATGGAAATCTATGGGTCCATAGAAGACGATCAGATGGATGAGCTGGAAGAGAGGTATTCTGCTTTTTTTGTTTGGTTTCATTTCATTTCGGCTGGTGATATCAATACCGCAAAAATCGGCCACGCTGGGAAAGGGGGTATGGGCAAAAGCAAAAGAAATAGAGCAGACCAAAGAAACAAAACGGAGGGGGTTTCTCGTGAAATAAAGAGATAACGAACCGGTTTCCTTTTTTTCCCTTTTTGTCCGCATTAAAAAAGTTTAGAAAAAAAAAAACCGCAATCCTAAGCAAACATGAGGCCTGAATCGAGTTACATATATTTCATGAGAAGGTTTTGTTTTTTGATTTCTTTTGTTTTGGTCTTTTGCCCTTTCCCGGCGCTGCAAGTTCGCTTTTCCCCACACTTTTGACCGAGAGAAACGCCGACTTTGCATGGTTAGCCGCCTTTTGACAGGATTCCTCCACACAAAAACTACCGAACCCGCGGCCGCCGCGTCACACATCTACCACTTCATCTCGTGGGGCTTGTCACCGTTGCGGAGGCTGAAGCTGGAGGCGAGGTAGCTGCCAAGGAAGTTCTCCTTCTTGACGGCGGCCAGGATGGACTGGTCGATGGCCTTCTGGTCGCTGGCGCGGGCGCTGGCAACCTGCTTCTTCTGTACCGAGGGGAAAGCATATCGAATCAGTATTCATATTCTTGAGAGGTGTTGTCGACTCCCTGCCGGAGAGGACCGACGGGACGCAAAACGTACCTGGGGCTTCTCTCCCTGCTTGAAGAAAGCCTCCTCGGTCTTCTTCTCAGCCTTCTTCTCCTTGGTGAAGTAGTCGGCAGCGGAGACCTTCTCAACGGTCTGGGCGTCAACACCGCTGATGTCGATGCGGGTGCTGGTGGCGATCACATAGCGGGCGTTGACACGGCGGAGGGGAACACCGTTGATCTTGAAGGGACCGGTGACGAGCAAGACACCCTGCTCGAGGTGCTTGAGGAGAACGACACGCTTTCCACGGAAGCGACCGGCGAGGAGGATCAAGACAGTACCGGGCTGGAGGCTCTCGCGAACCTTGGCGGGACGGATAGTCTTGCGGACCTATAATTGTGAAAAGAGGTCATGTTAGAGAAACGACCTATATCCCCATTTGCGATTCCACCACGATATCCAGAACAACCATTGCCGATCCAGAAGGGCCGGAAGATGCGATTTGTCCCCTATATTCGAAAGCTCATAGTCCGATTGACACAATTGGCCCTGATTCCTTCTGGCCTTTCATCTTCCCCGGATATCCGAGCCCGGAGAGGGTCTTCCTCCTCTTTATATAGCCAGCGCAATTGTCGCATTCGTCCATAGTTTCCAAATCGCATCTTCGTAGCCTCCCTGGTCGGTGGTTCGGAATAATTCTGGCTCTTTTGCCTCAGGGTGATGGTCGGTGTACTGACTTTCTTGACCTGCGACTCGTCATCAACGGGGTACCATTTCTGGGCCTTCTGGGCCGGCACAGTCCTCTGGCCCTTTCCAAACTGCTTCGTCAGGTCCGACATTTTGGCTACCGGGACGAAGATGGTCTGAAAAGAATGTAGGGGGGAGGTGGTGGTTGTCGACGGCGGGTGGTTGCTGGAGTTGATGTGTGACTTGCTGCTTTGCGCCCCAGGTCGGGAAAGTGTGAGTTTGTGTGAACGCGAGCCCTAGCCGAAAGGCGCTAGTGCCGATTCGGAGGGGTCCTGATAGCGATAGAGCCGATAGCGCCACTCGATGCCTGAGGCGGCAAGTCCGACGGGCTTGGGTTCTCGGGAGGCCCCAACTATGCATTTCGCTTGGCTCTTGTCTTACTCAGTTAGAAGACAGACAGAGAGAGAGAGCTGGTCCATCAACCTAAACATTACTGCGGGTAACCTCCAACTGACGTACCTTGCTTTGTTCAGCTTTTGTCCATTATCCTAACCTACCACTCTTTCCACTCCCAACTCTCAGAGCAACCTCGGTTGCTGTCTTGTTATCTTGCTCAACTGGAATACCTTCAGCTTCAAAGGTCTTTCACAAATTCTATTCTCCTGTTCAATCACAACTCGCCCACCATGTCTTTAACCCCAATCATCACCTTCAAAGCGGGTATCTGTGACCTCGAGGTGAGTTGTCTCTCAGAGCTCCGACCTCCCATCAACACACTGGAAACATACCGTCCCCTCTTTCGATGCTGATGCTGACTGTCTTTCTCTCTTGGTGGATCAGTCCGGCAACGTTGTCAAGCCCAAGCCCACCCCCGGATACATCTACCTCTACATCGAAGATGAACTGGTACACTTCTGCTGGCGCCCGAGAACTGCCCCTCACACCGAACCTGATTTGGATCTGGTGATGGTCCCTTCCGACGGAACATTCACTCCCTACAAGCCGGCTGGCAACGCTGCCCCCACCAATGGTCGCATCTACGTCCTGAAGTTCTCGTCGAGCTCGCAACGGTACCTGTTTTGGCTGCAATCCAAGTCGCAGCACGAGGGTGGCAACCTCAGCTGGTTCAGCCCCAGGGATATCCGACTGGGTGAGATTGTCAACACGTTGCTGCAGGGTGAGGAGGTGGACGTCGAAGAAGAGATTGCCAACTTGCCTCGGGGTCCCTCGAGCGGCGGCGACGACGACGAGACCATGGAGGATGTAGAGGGCGTGGACCACGACCCCAGCCACAACCACGGAGGTAACAGCGGAGGCGCTGGCCCCGATGCTACCGGGGGCGATGTTCGGGAAGAGGGCCAAGGATCGAGGGAGGGCGGTGCCGATGGTGGAAGAGCGTAGGTACATATCTCGACAGTTCCTCATGTTCACCCTAGGCTTCTTACACTGGGCGGACTGGCTGTACCCTTCGAGCTTTTTAGTAGTTTTTTTTTCATAGATATGCTACTGTACGAGTGCTGACTGGGAGTTTTCCGCACTGTAGGGCCGCTGCCGACTCGGATCCTTCATCTGTCGTGCAGAGCTTTCTGCAGTCTCTGGGCGGGGGTGCGCGCCAATCCCAAGATCCCGAGCGGCCTTTCACTACTCTGCAAGACCTCCTTCCTCCGTCAACTACGCTTCCCTTCTTGGCGGCCGCCGACGCCAAAACCGTCGATCACCTGCTGAGCTTCTTGCCTCCGTCGCTTCTCCTCCTGGCACAAGACATCGACGACGCGGCGGTAGCTGATCAGGACCCCGAGATCGCGGAAGCCGCCATGGGGTCCCTCGACGAAGACCAGAAGAAAGACATCCTGCGGAAAGTTCTGCACTCGCCCCAGTTCGCACAGAGCCTCGCCAGTCTGACCGTGGCTATCCGAGATGGTGGATTACCGAGCATTAGCGAAGCCCTCAAGATCCCCGTGGAGAATGGCGGGTTTATGCGTAGAGGAGGAGTTCCCCTAGGAGGTGGTGATGCTGTCGAAGCGTTCCTCCAGGGCGTTCGGAACCACGTGAAAGATACGACAGCTGAAGGAAACAATCGGATGGAGACTGATTAGATTTTTCTAGTTTTGGCCTGTCAATAGTTACAGTAAATGTTTTTTGATTCAATGATGCTTAAATTTCCCAGTCATTAGCCTGCCCTACCGTGTTTATATAAGTTGAGGATTAGTGTATATTAAATATGGAGTGAGCTATGGAAGGGAGATTACTTATTTGCGTTGTGACGCCTTGAGACACGCAAATTAGCGGGTTCTGCATGGATGAAACTCCATGGACTCCATGGACGGAGAGTGGACTCTATTTTTGGATGCTCCGGAGGTGTGGTGGGGACCAGCTTTGGTCGCAGGCAGCCATTTCTTGCTCGGTGTGGCGCGCGAGGTGGCTATGATTACCGAGTATGTACGGAGTACTTTCGATCAATTGTGGAATGTTGATCTTGACTGATGTATGGGAGTGACGTTTGAAAGACAGTAGAGTGTAGAGTGCTGGACTGAATACGTAGTGTAGAGTGGAGGAGAAAAGAAAATCTAGACTCCCTGTACCAGAGAAAAATCAGGAATACGTAACTGATAGGTTGCTCATTGCTGTCAGGGACACGGGGGAGAAGAGGAAAGCGTGAGGCAGGCCGCGGGTATGGAAATGATCCATCGAACCAGAATAATGATGTTTTTCTATTTATTTATTTATATTTTTTTTCGAATCATCATAAGGCTCGGATGTTTAGCAAATGCTGGGGGTCTCTTCTCTCCCTTTCAGCCATACAGAGGTCGTGGATGGATAAATCGCCCCAGTCGAGGGCCGCATTGGCGTAGTTCCAGACACTCCATTCATGTCCATCATGTCCAGAATCCATACACCGTCGCTGTTTCTGCCAATCTGTCCACCCACCAGTGATTTCCCCCCCCCCCATCCCCAAAAAAGACACGATCAATTTGGGCCCTCCATTCCCCATCTGTCTGACTTCCTGAGTGTTCCATTCTAATGATCGAATTTCGAATTCATCATGGTCGGACACTAGCTTTGATTGGATCCTGGCCCACGTTTTCCGCTCGGGGAGCCCACCCCGGTCACCTTTCAGCCCTTTTTTGACTCTTTCGACCTTGGACTGCTTTGCTTCGCCTACGTACTCGTACGTACGAGTCCAGTACACTGCTTGCTCGAACTACTACTAATTCTCAGCTTTTTCCCGCACCCTCCGCCTCCAGCGGTGAATCTCTTCTTCACTTTCCCCCTGCATTTGCACCTTCGCACGCACCTCTCAACTGCTGTCTGGGAGCCCTGCGTCTTCCTTTCCTCTCGACTCCCTCTGGACCTGCAGCGGCCTGCGATGTCTGCGTTCGGTTAGCGCATCTGAATTGCCCCCCATGGCTTCCAGCAGCCATGACCGCGGCACTGACGACGAACATCTCTCCTCCCAGCACTCAATCCCCTTACAGGACCTTTCTGGACCATTCGACTCTGATCTCGAGCCGAGGAATACGGCAGGTGGAGTTGCGAGCAGACTGAGCCGGTCATTGACTGGCAGAGGCCGAAGCGGGATCAATTACGAGCGCATCGCGCATGATTCTCCGATCGACAGGGTGGCCGGCGTGCCCCCGCATCACCACGAGGAGGACGAAGGCGCTACGATCGATGACCCGGGCGCATTCGCCCAAGCAATCTCCTCGGTCGGACTCAGCTTCGACCCCTCGCACCGTGCCTCTCTCACGCCGGAACCTACCCGCGATGGCTCCAGTATAGACCTTGACACCGTTCCCCTAGACGGGGCCGAGAATTATCTCTCCCACACCGATACCTACACCGATACGACCCCGTTAACGAATATCCGAAACGTACAGTCCATGGGTGGCGCCTCCAGCTCCGAAGACATTCTGCACCACGATGATGGATACGGTGCGCCCACGGCCCAGCTCGCTGCTGCGGGCAATTCGGATGCACGGTTAGGCGACGACCTGGAGGGCGGCTTTCATGGCAGACGGCGCGGGCTGAGCAGCCCTGGCGAAAGGTCGCGCTCGCTGTCTCCCTCAGCCCCCGGGTCGGCTCTGCAGCGAGCCAGCTCGATGATGAAGTCTATGTCTCAGCGTATCGTCAACCTTAGTAACGAATCGGAGGTCGTGGAACAGTCGATATTGAGGGAGGAGTCGCACAAGAATGCGCGGATGGAGGAACCACCGGCCCTGCCGTCCTTACCAGACTATGCGCACGATACACCGTCTCCCCTCACGCCTCGCAGCCCGGCGGCTCATCATCACGAAAAGCTACCTTCGAATAGCAAGGCATGGCGCGAGGTCAGCAACCCGTTGAGGGGCAAGTCCCTGGGATTACTGGGTCCGAACAATGCTCTCCGAATGTGGCTGTGTGACATCTTGGTTCACCCTTTCACTGAGCCTTTTATTCTGCTGGTGATCTGCATTCAGACAATCCTACTGACAGTCGAATCATCTCGTTCCGTTTGGAGTCATCCGCGCGATGTGAATTGGGGCAATGCCCCCACGGATTATGTTTACCTAGCGATCTTCATCATTTATACCCTCGAGATCGGCGCGAGAATTCTGGTGTCCGGCTTAATCATCAACCCTGCTGAATACAGTACAATTGACCGATCATTGGGCTTCAGGAAAGCCGTGATTGAGAAGGGGAAAAACCTCATCATCCCACAACGTCAGTTCTCAGTGAGAAAGTCATCCGTCGCTCCGGAGCAGCCGCAGGCTTCGATCATACGAACGTTCACGGGCGGGTTAAATCAGTTGGAAAATCAACATCAACTGGAGCACCAACTAGCCGATGATCCGTTGCAGAAAAGTCGCGTGAGACTGGCTCATCGTGCGTTTCTCCGCCACTCGTTCAACCGTCTCGACTTCGTCGCGTTGATTGCTTATTGGGTTTCTTTCTTCCTCTCGGTTTATGGAGTCGAAACTCGCCAGCAGCTGTATGTCTTTAGCATGCTCAGCTGTCTCCGAATCCTTCGTCTTCTGGCTTTGACGAACGGTACTTCTGTAAGCCTGGCACTCATATCTGTACAGCCGACTTCTAGCTAACTCAATTAGATCATCTTGCGAAGTTTAAAGAAGGCCGCGCCACTGCTCGTGCACGTTGCATTTCTCATAGGCTTCTTCTGGCTCCTGTTTGCCATTGTCGGCATCCAGAGCTTCAAGTCCAGCTTACGGAGAACTTGTGTTTGGATCGGGGTGAATGGCCAAGACAACTATACGCAGGATGAACAATTCTGCGGTGGCTACCTTAACAACGGTCATAATATGCCATGGCTAAGTGCTGACGGGATTCCCACCACTTCCAGCCCGAAGGGTTACATCTGTCCTCAAGGGTCTCTATGCATTGAGGGCGACAACCCCTACAATGGGACCATGAGCTTTGACAACATCCTCAACTCGCTGGAGCTTGTGTTTGTGATCATGACGTCGAACACATTTACGGATATTCTCTATTATACCACCGACAGTGACTACCTGGCTGCCTCTCTTTTCTTCGTGTGTGGGTTGATCATTCTGAGTTTGTGGATGGTCAACTTGTTGGTTGCGGTCATTACACACTCCTTCCAAGTCATTCGCGAAGAAAGCAAGCGCAGTGCATTCGCCGTGCAGAAGATAGACTCAACCGACAAGGAGGACCCGTCCGCCCGCAAGATAAGTACTATCAAACGTATCTACGACAAGACGGAATGGCTCTGGGTCTGTATCATCATCTTTGACTTGGTTGTGCAAGCCCAAAGAAGTGCTTCTATGGGCGCTGACCGCCAGGCTCTTATTGACAACACAGAGATCATTGTGACTATCGTATTCCTGATTGAGATTCTCTTGCGCTTCGCCTCAGACTGGCGCAACTTTCATATCAAAGCCCGCAACTGGGTTGACCTGGGTTTGGTGATTGTTACTTGTGTCATCCAAATCCCAGTCATCAGGAACACCCGTGCTTATGATGTTCTCACGATGTTCCAAATTCTTCGCGTGTACAGAGTAGTCCTCGCGTTCACAGTGACCAGGAACCTTATCATGGTAGTCTTCCGCAATGCTACTGGATTGCTGAATCTTATCGTCTTCGTCTTCCTGATTACCTTCCTTGCATCCATCTTCGCAACGGAGCTCTTCCGTGGTCAAATTCCTGAGGAAGATGATGGCGGAGACTTCATCTATATCACTTTCTCTGACATTTACAACTCATTCCTGGGGATGTATCAGATCCTGTCTAGCGAGAATTGGACAGACATCTTGTACAACGCCACGACATACACGGAAGCCTACAAGACTTCGTGGATTTCGGCCACTTTCTTGATTATGTGGTTCATTGTCTCCTGTTTCATCGTTCTGAACATGTTCATTGCTGTGATTCAGGAAAGCTTTGATGTATCAGAGGATGAGAAGCGGCTTCAGCAAGTCAGGTCATTCTTGGAGCAGAAGCAAGTCAACATGTCTTCGCAGGGAAACCTGTCCCTCTCGAAGATCCTGATGATGGGCCGAAACTCCGAGCGCTACAAGGATCCTCTTGATCACGGGCCAGCGGCGCTGGAGATGCTATTGAAAGATGCTGTTGTGCAGGAATTCCTCGACGAGCAGGAGCCGCCAGAGTCCGAACGGAGGGAAAGCGTGCCGTTGGAAACGACGACCACAGCGGAGACGTCGCAGCCTGGTATCTTCTCGCGCACCTGGAACAAGTTCGCGACATCGGTCATGCGTCGAGAGCCTAATCCATTCTACTCCAAGCTGAAATTCTCGCGAGCATACGATGAATTGGATCCGAGGACAATGGCTCGGGAGGTCGTATCGGCCGCCGAGCAGAGAAAGCGGGCGCAACGTGAATATCTGATGCGCCACCCCAATTACAACAAGTCATTGTTCATATTCGCGCCGGATAACGCAGTCCGGAAGTTCTGCCAGCGTATGGTCGGACCTGGACGCGGAACCCAGCGAGTGGAGGGTGTCGACCCATACAAGCCCGTGTGGTTCACCTTCTCTGCTTTCATCTATGCCGCCATTGTCGCAATGGTTCTGCTGGCCTGCATTACTACTCCGATTTATCAGAGCACCCACTTCCAAAATAACCGAGACTGGTTCACTTACACGGACATGGGCTTTGCGATCTTGTTCACGATCGAGGCCCTCATCAAAGTCATTGCCGATGGGTTCTTCTGGACACCTAATGCGTACTTCCGCAGTTCATGGGGCTTTCTTGACGGCATCGTTTTGATCACTCTTTGGATCAGTGTTGGAGGTTCATTGTACCAGGACTGGGGCCTGACGCGGGCGATTGGGGCTTTCAAAGCACTTAGAGCTCTGCGACTGCTGAACGTTAGTGATAGTGCCAAGGGTACTTTCCATTCGGTCATCATCGTTGGAGGATGGAAGGTCATTGCTGTAAGTTTACCACTGACAAGGATGACATGGTTGCAAACGCTGATGTCGGTAGGCTGCTGCGGTCTCGATGAGTTTTCTGATCCCTTTCGCTATTTATGGGGTCACGCTTTTCGCTGGGCGGATGGTCCAGTGCAACGATGGCGATGTAGCAGGTAGCTTGGACGCCTGCATCGGCGAGTATATGAGCTCTCCTTCCAACTGGGATGTGCTTGCGCCTCGAGCCGCTGCCAATCCCTACTACGACTTTGACAATTTCGGTGACTCCCTCTTCATTCTGTTCCAGATCGTCTCCCAAGAAGGGTGGATTGATGTGCAGCAGAGTGCAATGAGTATCGTCGGGGTCGGACAGCAGCCTCAGGACTACTTTGCCCCGGAGAACGGGCTGTTCTTCATCGTGTTCAACTTGCTCGGCGCCGTCTTTGTCTTGACCTTGTTCGTGTCTGTTTTCATGCGCAATTACACGGAACAGACCGGAGTGGCCTATCTCACCGCGGAACAGCGTTCGTGGCTGGAGTTGCGGAAGCTGCTGAGGCAGATCAACCCTTCCAAGCGATCCTTCGACAATAAGACCAAACAGTGGAAGATGTGGTGCTACCGCGTGGCTGTCAAAAAACACGGCCGATGGGCAAAGTTTGTAACTTGCATTCTTACGCTTCATCTTCTACTGTTGGTCTTGGAGTTCTACCCAGAGGCCCATCTGTGGAATACGATCCGACAGATCTTGTTCTTTGCGTTCAACATCGTCTACATTGCCAATGTAGCGATCCGAATCCTTGGCCTTGGCTGGCACAGATTCAGCAGAAGTTCCTGGGACCTTTACTCGTTGATCTCGGTACCTGGAACACTGATCACGACGATTCTCACCTTTGCGAACTCAGGCCATGTCGTCTCGGAGCTGAACAAACTCTTCCTTGTGTCGATTACACTGCTGATCATTCCCCGGAATAATCAGCTCGACCAACTGTTCAAGACGGCTGCCGCCAGTTTCACGGCGATTGGGAATCTGCTAGCCACCTGGTTTGTGCTGTTCCTGGTCTTCGCGATCGCAATGAACCAGGCGTTTGGCCTGACCAAATTCGGCTCTCAAGAAAGCGACAATATCAATTTCCGCGACATCCCGCGCGCCCTGATTCTCCTCTTTCGGATGAGTGCTGGTGAGGGATGGAACGAGGTCATGGAAGACTTCGCTACCATGGAACCGCCCTACTGCACGTACAGCAGCAACTACTTCGATGATGACTGTGGCAGCGCCCCGTGGGCTCGCTCGCTCTTCATTGCGTGGAACATCATCAGCATGTATCTCTTTGTTTCACTGTTTACGTCCCTGATCTTCGAGAGCTTCTCGTACGTGTATCAGAAGAGCAGCGGGCTCTACGCCATCAGCCGCGAGGATGTCCGTCGCTTCAAGCACGCATGGGCTACGTACGATCCGGATGGAACGGGATACATCACCAAGGAACAGTTCCCGCGACTGCTGGGAGAGCTGTCCGGTATGTTCTCCATGCGGATTTACGACGGCGAATTCACGATCCCGCAGATTCTGGAAGAATGTCGGGTTGACAGGCGCGACTCGCTTCTTGCGCATCGGAGAGTGGTCGAAGGGCTTGATCTGGACAAGATGTCTCGCATCCTGCGGCGCATCCCAGTGGAGAATATCCGCAAGCGACGACAGCAGCTCAATTCATTCTATGAGGAGGTGTTGGTGTCTGCGGACCCGGTGCGCGGGATCTCGTTCCACTCGTGTCTTATGATTCTAGCGCATTATAACGTGATCAGTGACAGTAAAAGTCTCCGGCTCGAGGAGTTCCTGCGCCGCCGGGCCCGCCTGCAACGGGTGCAGGAGACCATCCGACGGCAGACGGTGATCGGGTTTTTCGACACGCTGTATTGGTCGCGGCAGTTCCGCCGCAAGGTGGAGCACAAGAAGTCGGCCCGGATGAGCGCGGTGCCGCAGTTCTCGGTGCCGGAGATTTTCGTGGACGACGGATCGCAAGACGAGCCCACGGCCCTCACCCACGTGGCTCCGGGTCCTGCCGACCCCTTCGGTGGTAGTGGCAGTGGTGAGGAGCCCCTGCAGCCGATGCTGTCCCCGACCTCGCCCACGCGACGCGACGGCGGGGGACCGTCCCGGCTGGGCGGTCTGCCCCCGATCGATACCAGCATGGGCGGGCGCATCTCGGCGGCGAACTCGCCGACCGAGTGGTCGAGCATCAGTCCGTCGCTGTCGCCGCGGCGGGAGCGGGCCAACACGACCTCGTCGTATGGCAGCGGGCCAGACGTGCTGGAGGAGATCCAGAGCGCGACGTCGGAGCGGCCGCCCAACGTCAACGACGTGATGCAGTCGCTGGGCGACTCGGCGTGGGGCGAGAGTATCCGGCGGAGTTTTACGCAGCGACGACGGTCCGGCGAGTAAATATGTGATTTGAGGTTGGGCCGATGTGGAGCAGGGTTTTCTGGTGTCTTTCTTTTTTCTGTTTAGCGTTCTACCGTTCCCGTTTGTTAGCTCTGCATCTAGACATTCTGTATTTCAGGAGGCATGCTAGAGAGGTTCCATGTACATTAAGGGGGAAGGAGCCGGGATCATGATAAGTGATGATGATGTTGATGATGAGATTTTCATCTTGAGGAGTGAGCTAGGCTATGTGGAAAGATACACACTGGATACAGTGTAACCAGTGTTAACTTATTGTACTGTACAGCAAGACTCGATTCTGAATTCCTTTGTGGTCTTGTAGAAACTACATCCCCTCTAGTAATCCAGACCTGGAAGAATAAAAACCGAACCTAAAAGCATAGAATAGAACTGTATCGAACATAGTGGAGTGATCCAGTCAGTCGGGTGCTGTGCTGTGTTGTGTTGTGTTGTTGTGTGGGCTGCCTGCCTTGGTGTAGATCCATCACGTGGATGAATCGAACGCAATGCGATGCAAATGCATGACCTATCACTTTTCATCGTTGGGAGAAATTACGGAGTTCAATAAAAAAACACAAAGAGAAAAAAAAAAGGACACACAGCAAAAAAAACTGGTTACATCATGATTGTCATTTCTCCGATCGCTAATTAGTTGATTTTGGTTGGGGGGGGTTTCCTTTCCGCCTGATTTGCGTTGTTTGCCCTGATTTTGTGGGCTGTATGTATTGTACATAGAATGTACCTAAATTGGGTTGGGGGGGGGGGAAATAACATGAGTAAGGTTTTGCCTGGCACTGGCAGAGTAAATCGCTTTCCTTCTTTGAGAGGGGAGACAGAGAAGAAGCAGGGCGAGCAGGGTGAATTCTGGTAATTAGCTGGAATGACAGGGCGTGATCTCTGGTTTGGGTGGGTCTATTCTGGGTCTTTTGCCCCGGATCGGGCAATTGGATTGTACTGCCCGTACAGTATACTTCTACTCCGTACTCCCCCTAATTACTGATTACTGAGACGGAGTCCGAAGGAGGAAGAAAGGGTGCTCTCCATGCTCGGGACGAAAAGCCCTTGAAACCGCCATCATCAATTGCATAACATACAGGGGCCTGCAAGAATGTTTGGTGTTGCTGCAGTCGGAAAGAAGTTAAGATTCGGCTGGAGCGGAAACGGGGCGGGAAGTGGGAGTTGAAGTGTGTCTGTTTGCGGTTAGTTCTTCTTGACGGGCATTTATCATTGTGTACGGGGGGGGGGGATTATATTATGATGGATGGATCAGTCCCTGCTCTGCTCTCTGGTCTTGGATGTCATCATCACCTGGAGTCGACTTCTTTTTTTTTTTTTTACTACTGTCTGTGTGTCCTCGTATTGGAATGAGGGTTTTTTTGGTCCTTGAGGGGTCGTTCCACTTGACTGAGTCGAACTTATAACTACACTACCTTACCTTACCTTACCTGGTGTGAATCCACAATACACCTGAGATTGAAGTCGATCTATCACCCTCGATTCATCACACGGGATCCATCAGACTGAGACTAAGTCTGAGTCTACTTGTGTTACGGAGTACTTGCCTACTCTTTTTCCATCATCATCATCATCATCATCATCATCTTTACTACCTACTGCCATTACTACCTGCTGCCCATCTACACTTACTCTCCATACTTCTACCACCTACCACCTTACTCCCACCATAATTCAATACTACTCATCCCATATATCCTCCCTCACCTCGACCACGACCACAACCATGTCCGCCCACAACGAACCCCAACATACACAAACATCCACCCCCGGCCTCCACCTCCTCCACACCACCTTCGCTCTCCCTCCGCCATCCTCCTCGCAAAACCACCACTACAGCCACTCCCAAAAACCCGCTCCCAAAAGAACCACCACCACCACCCTGCTCACCCCCTCCACCTCGCCCATCATCTCCCCGCTCAGCTCCACAACCACCAGTCCAACCTCCTCCCCCATCTCCAACCCGGAATCCATCTCCTCCACCTCCTCCGCCTCGCTATATTCGACGGCCTCCCCGCCCCCATTCGCCTTCCACCGCTTACACTTCCCTTCCTCGGGGGCCACCACCACCAAGACCGAACCCAGCACCACCACCACCAAACCGCAATACAAATATAACCCCCACCCACCCACCAAACAACGAGATCTCACCACCCCACCCCTGAGTCCACATTTAGTCCCTTTCACCCCGGCGCCGAGGACACCTACCACGCAGTGGCAGACGCAGTCACAGTCACAGCAACAGCCCCAGCACCAGCAGGACCAGGACCAGGACCGAGTCCTCCCACCCCTCTCCCTCCTCTCCCTCTCCCCCTCATTCTCCCGATCGTCATCGCCCTCGCCCTCGCCCTCGCCCTCCCTAACACTGGGACCGGGACTGGGACTGAATCCGCAGACTCAAACTCCTCGACCACTACAGCTGCACCACCACCACCACCAACTCAGACCAAGGAACCTCTCGAAAATCGAAAAGGAGGTGCTCGAGGAACAAGGCCGCGCGGCGGGGGATGCGGTGGAGCGGGTGGGGTTGGGAATGTTGGAGCCCAGACCGTCGTTGCCTTGTACTGTTGCGGCGGGCGGGATAGGGATGATCGGTAAGGGGGGCCTTGGAGTGGGAGGGGTAGTGGTGGCGTTCGAGGGGATTGAGGAGGTGTTGGCGGGGTGAATTTGCTTCCTTTCTTTCGCAAACTCTCTCTCGGGGGGTGGGTAACTACCTGGGGATAATATCACCAGGGACCAGACTCCTACCGATGGATCGATCAATACCGCCAAAGGATTGAGGGTTAAGGGTTGGGGGTGTTTCGTTTACACTAAATGCGGCTTGTGAGAGTCGGTGCAACAGGTGCCGTGGTTTGTGGAGGCGCTTTTTTTTTGGCTCTGCTTGGGACTTGGATAGCGAGTACCGTGGGCGGTTTGTGCATGGGAATTACTTAGTTTTCATTCGTGTGTTGGAACTTGTTGATTTGGGTACGGGCGTTGAAAGGGCAAGGGTCAGGCGGAGTTCGGTGTTCCTGGCTATGGCTATGGCGGATGCTTTGTGAGTTTGTCGACTGTGTATGTGTGCGGCTATTGTTCTACTCTACTTTACTTTCTGCCAGGATCCTGGGTACTGGGATATACCTACCTACTTACAGCTACCTAATTTACATACTTTGGATATGAGGATTGATCCCTTTGGCTGGCCGGATGATAACATAATACCCTGTAGAGACTAGCGTGGGAGAGCTGGCATCTACGGGGAGTTGACTTGTATCTGAGAAAGGTGTATGATGATCGATTCGGTTGGTAAACTGCCGACTTCAGACCTCGGAAGATCCATCTTCGAATTCCTAACAAGAAAAGAATCACTGCAACTGCATAGGCAGAACGTAAAGACAAGCCGGTGAAGACCCTCAGGCTGCATGCAGGCTGGAATCGTATTCGAAAAAAAAAAGGCTGGAATGTACGTACATGATCAGGGTATCGTGAGTCGAAGAAAACATGTGCAAAAGGGTAAAATGTGCAAGGTTGTGTGTATGCGTATGTGTGTCTTGAACTGGTGAAACTATGAACACCGCGCCATAGGAAGGTCTATGCACATATGAGTGGACAAGGACAGTAGAGGTGGATGTCCAGATCAAAGGGAATAAAACAAGGTCGGTGTATCAGAAGACGTCTGGACATACAAGATGTATGTATGAACGCTTTTCTGTCTTGAGCGCAGGCTGTACCTGTAATAGAAGGTCATTTGGCTCAAACGCCTCAGGGGAATATCACAATGCTTGACCCGTTAGAAATGTTGCCAAAGTACTAGGTGCTCCGCAGCAGGTTCCGTTTCAAGGCATGCAAGCAGGCAGCAAAGAAGACGAGGTGAATGACCAACAAATTCGGCTGTGCTGTTCATCTCACCGCACCCCCTTCTTCCTCTGATTCGGCCACAACTGGCCCCGACAATTCGCCTCGCCGCAGAGACACCGCACCGCACTGGGATCGATCTTGGCGTTCTTGACGACGCCGCCGCCGCCGTCGGAACCGGGATTATAGTCGAAGGTCAATTCCGTGTACGGCGGGATCTCGTGCAGGGCAAAGAAGGCCAGATCGTACAGGTCTCGATCGGCGTGGTTGCGAGAGACAGGGATCATGCGGCAGTTCGGGTTGCACGAGTGGTTGATGAAGCGAGTCGGGCCGCCGAAGTTACGCCCGTCGATCACATACTTGCAGCCGGACTCGGTGGCTTCGTCGTCGTCTTCGTCGGCTTCATCTTCGTCGTTGTTGGAGTCCTCCTCATAGTCTTCGTACTGGCCGTTCAAGAAATCGAGACTGAAGAGGTAGGATGCGCCGTGCGCTGTGTGAGCCGCTTCACGGAGATCAGCGGCCGTGGTGGTGATCACTTCGCCTGTGTAGCAGTCGATGAATTGGCCGGCGCGGATACGGTCTGGTGAGCGGAGGCCTATTGAGATGAATTATGAGTAAGAACATTACTCGGACTATGAGGAAGAAACAGCTGGGTTGACCCAAAGCACAGGGACACTTACCAAACCCACGATCCCCGGTATAGAAAATCTCCAACCGCACGGTACGTCCATTCTGGACCACGCGATTCCAACATCCCGCATTGCACCCACACCGGTCACTACACTCGTAGATCATGGCCTTGCGCGTGAGGAATTCCGGCTTCAGCACCATCATGCGCGGGTCGTCTGGGGCTCCCCGGTACGGCATGATGTTCGTGTTGCTCTCGTCCTCCTCCTTGGACAGACACAGGCAGATCTGCGGGTTGCACACCCCGACGCAGGTACAGCCCGCGTTGAACTCCTCGGACACGGGGACCACGCCCTTGCGCAGCGGGTTGGTGTTGACGAACTCGAAGTTCATGATGAAATCCGCCAGGCGGGACTCTGCGGCCGGATCGTAGGTGACCTCGGGTCCCCGGATGGTCCGCAGCTTGCGTTGCATCGTCTTGTGCGTCTGGTGCCGGACGTTGGGGGGTCGGGTCAGCAGCGGGCCCGGGGCGCCGAGGACCAGGGGCGTGTCGGCTCGCTTGACCTTCTTGGCCTTAGGGTAGGCGCCCTTGATGGCTTTCCTTTGATGGGCGTCTGTGGGGTAGTAGGTCTGCGAGAGGGCTGTGGGGGGCTGGAGGGGAGGGATTGGTCTGGATGCGTGGGATGATGAGGATGAGGATGATGCACGGCCGTTGATGCTGCGGAATTCAGGGAGTTCAGACTTCAACTGGCGAGATGACGGGGTAGGAATGATGACATCTGGGATGGTGGAATGGGGGGTAGAAGCTGATGAAGAGTCCGGGGTTACTGAACGAAGGGCAGAAGGAGCAGTGGCTGGCCAGGCGCTGGAGCGTCGTGGACTCTGTCTGCGTTCAATGCTCTGGGCCTCTTGGCTTGAGATGCTTCGTCTCGAGCTTGGTCTGATCGGCTCGGGCTGGGAGGAGACACGCCGCCCTGGCTCATGATGGTTCGACCTGTCAAAGAACTTTGACACTGCTAGAGCAGAGAATACATCTTTTGTGTCGGACTTTCTTCTCTTCACCGGCACTGACTGTGAGACATTGGGTGCGCGGTGAGCCAGGCTGCGTGAGAGTGAAGCTGCGCTTGTAGATGGTGTCTAGAGCCCAAGTCAGCTGCTGTTACCAGTGCATTCTGCCTTAACACAATGGTTCTTGTTTGGGGGCTGTTCTTGGGATTTAGATATATACAAAGGTACAAACTTTGAGAAGGTGTGCAGGGTATATTTAGAAAAGATAGAAAAGAAATAGGCATAATTAAGTCCAGAAGGGATCTATTGCTGTATAAAAAGGCAATATAGCAACATAGCAACATAGCAACGGGGTATACTCAAAAGCCAGCGGGAAATCCTTGAGAGGCGATAACCCCCAAAAAACACAGATTTGAAAGTCAAAAGGACTCAAGCAAACTCACCTGATTGGACTCCTCCGTCTCCGAGTCTAATGTCAGGTCGATGAACATAGCTGACATGGTAGCCACAGTTCAGACCAAGAGACCACTGATGTTGTAGTATCAAAAAAATGCAACATAACAGACAAGATGTAGGGAAAGCGGTGTTGAGGCGGTGTTGGCTTTCAGGGAAAGGGAGAGAGACAGGACTTGAAAAATGGTCTAGCCTGTTTGGGAAATACCCTGCTCAGTTAGCTAATTAATATCAAGTGAATGATGATTATATAGAAAATCAAAAAGTCAAAGAATCAAAAAATCCTGATTAACTGAAATCAGCATTTTTCTTCTCTTGGAAAGTACTGAGTTTAAAGTACAAATATGCCACAAGAGACTAACACATAGTCAAAAGCTCAGAATGACCAATATTGACTGGGAAGATGGTTGTGCTGATAGCATGTCCAGCAAGCATTCTGAATTGGCCAATCAGTGGCCTCGGATGAACTGCAAAGTAACGAGCTGCTTCGACCCGCCCAACCGAGTCTGTTTGCAAATGGATAAGTCAACCAGCATTGGCCTCGCACATGTGCCAAGCACCAGACAAATAAACACATTTCCAGTTTCGAAAAAATCTCCATGGGATATTGTACCCAGATAATGTGTTTCGGGTTAAATAGATGCTCTGCCTGGGACAAGATCACAGCCTGAACCTTCCCTATAGATCTTGTTGTTTGTCGGCGCGGACATATCAGATTGTGACTAAGCAGCACACATCCTGGTCAACATCTCAGGATATTCTTAAGCATTCTTAGAAAAGAAGCGGTGGCCTTAGTAATATTAAAGTTATCTCTGCTGACTCTTTGGGAGAATATAACATCTGTCCAGCTTAAAATTCTGGCATAATCCTCAGTGTTTTCTGGTGGCCTGGGTAGTTGTTAAAATAGTGACATGTGGGACGTGCCAGCCGCCAACTGGTCAATTTCACAGGCCTCGAGTCGACTTTCGGGTTAGCCTCTCTCGACAAGGACTCGGACTACAGCCTTATGCATGATTTCTTTCAATTGTTGTGGTATCCCTTGTGGAACAGCCTGTATAATCTTCATTCATATCACAAAGCGCATGATTCAAGCTGTACTAGGTAGAAGCTAACCTCTTGGATTTTAATGCCAGGGAAGTATATTTATAACTCTCCTCAGTTCGGCATCACTTCAACCTCATTTAGCACCGTGATGTGAGCCGTTCTTGGGACACACTATAAGCTCTCCATTGACCTAAGCATATCCAAACTTTGGAATGCTGCTACTCGCGTGTGTCTAATGGCCAGCAGACTATTGGTTGTTTAAACAGTTGTAACAAACATGACTGTCAGAATTAGTTCACATGTCTGAAAGTTACGCCTACCTGCATGACCTATGTATAACAGTTCTAAACAACTGTATAGGTATCGAGTATTAAGGCAAAGAGAAAAGAGAAGAAATATACAATAGTGGCCAATAGCAACACAAGAACAAGATCTCACCGCACCCATGATCATCCTTGCTCAAGTCTAGTATACACCATGATAAAACATCCCCCCTAAAATAAATGAGCCAGCTCAAGGGTAATGCGAACCGAAAATTGACATAGGAAATGCTCCACAAAAGAAAAACATCATGCTCATGCAAATGCTTCGTGGATCAAATCAATTCTGATCGGCATGCAAATGGATTCATAACGTATCATGCAGATCTAGATGCACTCAGAGTCGCAGGGCGTCCAAAATCTTCTTCGCCATCTCCCGATATTGCCACATGCCACCTGCCACTTTCTTGAACTGAATCCCATGCAGCGAGAAAAGAGGTACCTTGACAATAAGGATTTCGAATCGGAGTACCAGATTCTCTCCTGTGTCACTCTGAACTCGTGTCGTTGTCTCACCCATTACACGTTCTCCAACCACCCCGAGGTCGCGACTTGGCCGAGGACCGGCTTCATCGTCAGAGCCCTCAGGAGTGGTCACAAAGCTGTGGTCAGGGGGCGCTCGAGCCCGACGCTGGGAGCGCGGCGTCTGGCGAAACTCCTCTCTGCCCTCGTCGTGGCTCAACAACCCTCCAAAACTTATGCGCCGACGATGGCCCGAAATCTGACCCTGCCGGTCCGGGCTTGGTGGCCCAACATCCATCACTGTATCCAGGTCAATGCTCGGGGCATGACGACAACTAAAGCCTCCCTTGATCTCCGTGTAGTCGACACCGAGTTGTTTCAGAGCGCGAATGATATCCGCTCGGATTACAGGCAAAGGTTTGCTGCTCGTGGTCGAAACACTGAAAAGGCCCTTGAGGTATACGGGCTTCGACAGGTCCTCCCCTTCATTGGCACTCTCCAAAGCAGTGCCTGCTCCAGTGATATCCGCATCCGTCTCTTCAGGCACATTTGCTTCTCGGGTAGCATCACGCCTAGCTCGACGGGCTTGAATGCTTTCCCGACGAGCATGCCCTAATGACATTGTCCGGGCGGTATGGCCGCGGCCTAGCTTTGTTTCCCTCGCAGCCGTCAGCTCTTTCTGTACATTGGCATAGTCTGATCCACTGCTTGGTGGGGGGTGGCCTGTCGCGTCAGGGTCGTTTCGCCGTGAACGACGAGGACGATAGTCGGCCGAGTTGACGCTGGCGGATCTTTCCAGGAACTTATTTGACCGCGAAGCCGGCTCCGCTGATCTTGGGGCCTTGAGTAAATCATTTTGCGGGAGTTGATTTGATCCGGGTGGAACAGCTGTTGGAGATGGATCTGCGCGTCGGGTTCTCTTCACACTGAACCCTCTGGATAGGGGCGAGGCCAAGTCTGCGGGTGGCTGAACGTTGAGTGCTGGGGTGTGGGGACTGCCAAGTCTTCCACGTTCCGGGTCGCGGCTGCGCTCCTTTGTCCTGCGCGTGCTGAACCGTCTCAAAATACCCGCTGCCGTGCTTTCTTTCTTCGCTGGGGTTTCGGGCTGCGATAACGTAGGACCCGGGGAATGTCCGGTCTGCGGGCCCAGGTGAAGATTTTTAATGCCATCCGCCAAGTCGTCATCACCATGCGTTCGTGCCCTAGGGCGCGACCTTCTTCCACTGTCCTTCTCTCCCGGAACGTGATACTGGTTGGTATGAGCGGCCTCCGGTGCTGGAAGATCTGGCATTTGAAGCATTGAATCCCCGGATGCGTGTGGAACTCCCAACGCTCCAGGGTTCTTTTCGGCTCTTTCTCTGTCCAGCTTCTCCTTGACCAAATAGTAGACTGAAATCAGCGGGCTGTAGGCATTTATTGGGTCATTGCCCAATTGAACGGCTTCCGCAGACGGCGCGGACAGCGTGTCCCTGCTGGCAGAGTTCCGTCGTTTGTAGAAATCGAACACCCCTCGCTTCTTCTCTGTATAGCTTGGAGCGGGTTGTTCGCGGGCGCTCACTTTTACAGCATGTTGGTAATCCTCAGACTCAATGACCTTGGTGAGCTGCGCAGTGATGTAATCGGGCGGTCCGAAGTCGAAACCCGTCATCTTTTCAATGACTTCGGGGTCTAAAGGCAGAGTGATAGGTTCTCGGTACGGTAAATAATTTTCAGGGGCGCCATTGAAGCCCTTGTTCATCCAAGGATGATTCATGATCTCAGTCAGACTTGCGCGTTGTTTGGGATCAGTAACCAGCATGCGCGAGATAATATGACGACACTCTGCGTGTTGGAGATCAGTATCAGGGAGAAACGATAGACTGTGGATACTAACCTGCAGTAAGCCCTGGAGGGTACTCGAAAACGCCCTGTTTGATCTTGGCATGCAGTTTGGGCATGCTCTGATCGTCAAACGGAACTTTACCGCATACTAGAACATAGAGAACAATGCCAAAACTCCAAACATCCACCTCTGGACCAGTGTACTGCCTTGCCTGCAACAACTCGGGGGCGGCAAAGTAAAGACTTCCACAGAAGGTTTTGAGTTGACTGCGTGGAGAGAAGAGATTACTGAGACCGAAATCAATGATCTTGATGTCTCCAGTCTTGCTGATAAGGATGTTCTCGATCTTCAAGTCGCGATGCACGATGCTGTTGCGATGACAATAGTCCAATGCACTCGCGATCTGACGGGCAAATTTGCGTGCCTGCTTCTCTTTGAGTTTTCCATGGGAAATGATGTAGTCCAGCATCTGACCCCCGTTGACGAGCTCAAACAGCATGTACCAATGGTAATTGGTCCTTACTACATCCCTCATACCACAAATATAAGGATGGTTGACGAGACTGACGATAGCTGCTTCACGCGCTGTTCGAATTTCCTTCGAGCGGTCTGCCCGTTCGGCCTCGCGCGAGCTGCGGTGCTCTTCGGTCGATTGCCGAGGTACGATCTTGACGGCCACCTGAACTGCAATGAGATCCTGCAACAGAGGGCAAGCAACATTACGAGACTCACCTGTTCTCCTGTATCCATGTTTTTTCCAACTTTTACTTTACCCATACTGCCGGCACCTAACGTCTTGCCCAAAGCCCACTGACCCGTTGGCGTTGTGATCATTGTGCGACGCCTTGACTGGACGGGATTCGCCGGATGTAAGTGAGCGGCGGCAGCCTGGGGCTGTCCTGCGACACCCTCTGGCATGACGGGGCCCGCAGTCGCCATATCGACACTGTCTCGTTGATGGCCTTGAACTGATGAATAACCCCGGTGCTTGTTGGAGGAGGAATCGGGACGGTAGGAGGTGGGAGGGCGCTCCTGTGAACGGTCCCGCGAGGATTCCCTTCGGGGAGTAAATGGGGGAGCTCCGCGAGAAGCCTCAAAATCCCGACGGGCTATGGTGTCAAAAACCGCTTGGTTCGCAGGGGGCCGACGATCATAAGCCTGTGACTTGGAGTGAGAGTGAGAGTGACGAGTCTGGGGTTGGTAGTGATATTGCGACGAGGATGGTGGTGATTGATGTTGTGGTTGGGAGGCTGTCGCAGGTCGGACAGCAACACTTCGGGTACGGTGAGGGAGCTCGGATGAGGGAGGACGATAGGAGGGAGATCGGGAGGAAGTCGAGTGACTGCGGACGACCGAAGGCGACGCAGTTGATGGGGCAGTAGTGGACATCACGGTGGGCACTGGACTGGAGAAATTCCGAGCCAACCACAGGCCAAGCGTGTGCTTTTTTCAGCCCAAGACCGCCTTTAGTATGGAAATGCTAGGATTTGAGAGGGGAGTGGAGGAGAGGGGGATATTCAATAATAGCGACCGGTCGGGAGGAAGAAGGGGAGAGCAAGTGGGGGGGAGGAGAAGACGGGCGTAGTTTAAGACGGTTTTGGCTGACGGAGCGAGCGCTGGAAAGGATAAAAACAGCCAAAGTGAGTTTTTAAAAAAGATTGCTGATGGCTGCGGTTCCACCCATGTGAGTACTGTATGTACAAAGGCTCCCCAGGATGGAGTAGGGAGAGGGGGAGGGGGGAGGGGAGGCGGAGGAGAAAGGAAGGACAGACAAGGACTAGGAAACAGGGTGGGGGGGAGGATGGATGGCAGGGGAAGAGAGAGTGTGAGATCTAGGGAATGTGGGACGGGAAGAGAAGAGAGGAGAGGGTATGATGAGATCGGGGGGAAGAGGAAGAGGGCAAAGGGGAAAAAAAAAAAAAAAAAGGAAAGAGGCAGGCAAGGCAAAGGAAAGCAAGTAAGAAAGACATGGAAGACAAGAAAGAATGCACGAGGGAATAACAGTCATGGGAAAGTGACGATGGATGGATGCGGCTGCGGAGAAGAAAGACAGCCAGTCCCAGGCCGACACAGACACAGACACACATAACTCCAAGGTACATAACTGTTAACTCCGTGACTACGGAACTTTGGCTGGACTTTTCTCAACAACGACAGGGGCCACTGCACCGCAACCAGAGAAAGAAGTTTGGTTCGGGTACCGTATGGCGCCGTCAATTCCTCCTACTTAGTACTATGTAGTACTAGGTACATCAACTAGGAGTAAACTAGTTTATACAACCAAATGGGTCTGACTCTGACATTTGGGTCGCTCCGCTTGCTGGTTTTAATTAAGAAATTTTAGAGATTGGAACGATATATTAATAGTGTTCTGGTGTCGGCCAGGCCCCCGCAGCAAGAGCAATAGTAATGATAATAATAAGAATAAGAGCAGGTGGGAAAATAAAGAAATCGACATTTCTGTAGATTTGCCTTTCAGTGTTAAACATGACTGTGGCTCGTATTCTATTTCTGCATGGATCATGGATTCATTGATTTTCATTAAGTTACGCAGGGGAAACGAGACACTACATCCATCCATACAGCCAATTCATTATTACCACTTCGATTCGGGCTAATAAACCGCGGTTAAGCATAGTACCTACACAGGGTCAGTCCCTCAATTTCCTCAGTAACCACGGGGCGCTCGCCCTTATTTGTAAGCTCAACAACGTTCACGGGCCTGTCACGCAGAGTCGCCCTGTGCCGTTGCCTTCCCACGAGGCAGTGGCACGTCGGACTTTTTGGTCCTCAATCCTTTCTTTCCTTTGGGCATGGATGGGCAGAATGACGAGGGAGGCAGATGCTGATCACTGGAGATTCCCAGTTGATCGGTCCAATTTAAATTGGTCCTATGAGCTCACCTCTCTTGCCAAGCATTATTCGTTGATTGATGATAATTCTGGAGCCGAGCAAAAAATATTGCCTCTTCATACTCAGTACGTACTTGTATACAACTCTTCTTCTTGTTGTTACATGCTCCTGAGTGTATGTGTTCTCTATATGTGCGGAGCATAATATGAGCTCTAAGTGTTTTCGTAGTGCACACAGACTTGAAGTTCGTGTTCGTATTAATCGAGTATGAGAATATAGAAGTCACTGGCGGCTGTTAAATGACATTGTTCTTTAGACATCCTGGTTGAAAGCCTAAAGTTTGGGGGTGGATTTGTGTGTCTAGCGTTGATGCTCTCAGCAACTCCATTACAGATTCCAGAGATGAGACCCGCCCCTGTTTACGGTACCAGCCACAACCAGTGGCGGTGCGCAGAGCAGCCGACCGTACGTATTCCGTACCGTCACATGTCTTCGTCCTTGGCAGTCGCAACATTGAACTGCTTCCAAGTCACCCTGATCCTCCATATCTAACCAGCATCACCTATTCGCTCTCTCAAGGTAGGCTTCCAAACCATATACACTATCGATCTTTACAGTTGTTGACTGAATCAATTCGATGCAGCCATAGTAATGCTTGACTGAGCCCACGCCCCGCATGGCTGGTAAAAGAACTCGAGCCGCCTTCGAGGCCGATCTACAGGCGCAGCAGTCACCCTACGCTCTTTACGGAACTCCTCTTCCACCCTTAGATGCCGGCGTCCGTGACGATGGCTCCTACGCGCCCATCTGGAAGCAAGAAGTGACCGATGACCGGGGAAGAAAACGCCTACATGGCGCCTTCACCGGTGGATTCAGTGCCGGGTGAGCTCACGATTCATGGATCGCTGTGGACAGCACACTAAAGGTCGACCCTCTTCAGGTACTTCAATACTGTCGGGTCGAAGGAGGGATGGACCCCTGCAACCTTCGTCTCATCACGGCAGAACCGTGCCAAGGACAACCGGAAACAACAGATTGAAGATTTTATGGATGAGGAGGATATCCGGGAAGCAGAAGAAGCAAAGACGGTTTCCACAAGTAATGACTTTGCAGGGTTTGGCACGACCGATGCCGAATTGGCGCGCCGCGGGGGTTTGATGGACCTTCTCAGAACCACCGGGGAAACCATGGGAGTGAAACTTTTGAAGAAGATGGGGTGGAGGGAAGGTCAAGGTGTTGGTCCTAAAGTGCGACGACGCGCCAATCTAGGTGACGGCACCACGCAGGGTGGTGAGGATGCCAACAAGACGTTTATGTTTGCCCCGGAGAATCCGCCAATGGTGGCCTTCATCCACAAAACCGATCACAAGGGACTTGGCTTCCAAGGGGAGGCCCGCCTTGACGCTCGCGCGTTGACACGCGGTGACTCGGACGGCGAGGAAGATGACTCCTTCTTTGGCAAACGACTCATAGCCCCAGGAAAGCCTAGACAGCCCAAAGTCAAGGAAACTCGTCGCGGAGGCTTTGGCGTTGGAGTGCTCAACGACACTGGGTCAGATGACGAAGACCCATATTCGATGGGGCCTCAAATTTCTTACAATCGTGTCATTGGGGGAGACAAGAAGAAGAAGAAAAAGGCAAAGTCCATTGAAGACGCAAAACCAGTCACGGGATCCTCGAATCCTCTGATAACCAATAAACCGATTTATATTCCCAAGAAGGTTCTCGCGGCCAAAAGCTCGAGTGGCTTCAGGAAGTGCCACGATGGCCGTTTGCCGCTGGAAGGATTTCTGCTTGTCGATGGCATCTCCAACATGACTATCTCTACCCAAGAAAAGAAGTATGCGGCCCCTGAAATACCGGCAGGCTGGAAATCCAATAAAACCCCGACTCAAAAACAAGACGTATCGAATTATGTTTCCACGGCAGAGGCAGCTAAGGTCTCAACTCTGGACCCAGCCGCTCGAGCTGCGCTTTTGGGCGAGGCGCAGTTACCAGGGAAATCTATATTCGACTGGCTGACCCCAGAAGGTCGAGAGCGAATTGCGAAGTTGACCGGGAAGACAGACTTACCGCCAGCCTTGAGTGAGAAGGCGCCAAAGGGCTACGAGCTCTCCGAGGCGCAGAAGCGTAAAGACTTGTGGGACTTAGTGCCGAAACTAGATAAGCAGGTGGCTGTTCAGGCTTTGACCCGAGCGGCAAGTGGCTGGATGCCATATTCGGAAGACCTGGAGAAAAGAAAACGCTATCGAACCTTCCTCGAGGTACGAGCTGGGCTTCGAGATACAATGCCTGATCGAGTCCCAGGGTCCACTACAGATGAATGGGCCCTGGAGCTGGACGAGTTCGCCCGAGCTGCAGAGGTCTTCAAACCCATGTCGGGGTCGATGGCATCGCGTTTTACTTCGGCTTCATCTGGCCCGAGAGAGTCGTCCGATAAAGTCGATGCATCATCGGCTGATCCGCTCCTCAGCAAGCCTGCCGCAAAGCCTGAGGACCCTGCAGTAGAGGCTGCCCGGATTGGCATGTTCGGCCCGATGACTCGAAGCACTATATCACTCTATCCCACGCGCCTGCTGTGTAAGCGATTTAACGTCAAGCCTCCGGATCACGTTCAGATAGATCCTGGAGAAGCAAGCGGACGCACGGATGCCCCGCCATCTGGCGGGCGCTTCCAGTCCGCTGGGTACCAGAATGTTCCAGGACCTAGAGAATTGGTGTCGCGCGAAGTCATGAATCAGCTTATGATTGACGCCGGCCGAGGTGGATCTCTTACGTCTGGGGCAGAAGATGCATCGTCGGCGCAAGCAGCGTCGGTGGTCCTTCGCGAGCCTGTGGTCATTGAGCCGGAACGGAACGAAGCTTTGGAGGCGGAGCGGCCAGGAGAGGCGGTATTCAAGGCTATCTTCGGTAGTGATGACGAGGATGAGGACGACGAACTAAGCTGAGCTGGTATTGGTAATTAGCCTGTTGTATGTGTTGTATACCACCATTGACTATAGAAGCTTAATTGTGACCTCCACCCTTCGGAGTGGAAGATACGACTTGCCAGATTCCTGACCGCTAGTGTTCCAGTGGATTGTTGTGTAGCATGAGCTGGTGACTGATAATTCAGTCTGTACTTCGCATGCCGGAAGATTTCCGCAAACCTCATTCTTGGCTGCGCCACCATCTCATCGCGTCTGCGGTCAAGCCTAACGGTCTGGCTGGAAAGTCTGTCACACAGCAGGGAACAGTAGAAAAGCACCACTGGTGTAATCAATAACAGTGGAAGGGGAATGGATGAATGAACCTGAATGATAGGTGATTTGATCCGAGAAGGTGTATTTTGAGGGATTCCCTTATGTTTTTCCCCTCACTCCAACCCGGCGTTCGCTCCATTCCTTCCTACCCCCCTCTTCGGTTTCTGAACCTCGTAAGTTCTCCTCCTCTCTTTGTTTCTTCTCCTCTTCTCAACCGTTAAAGCTTCCTTGTCTCGCCCAGTCTTTCCCCTCTAAGCCTCCAAGTCACGTTCCCTTCGGGGTCTGGTCTGCTACTGCTACTGCTTTTATTGCTCATTGCTAGCAAAACAGAGAGGAGTGTCTTCTCACTGTTTTGAGTTGCTCCCCCGCGGTGTCGTCATGCGAGTGAGCTGCAACCCGCCGCTCCGTTGCCACCACTAAATACTAGTAGTAGCCCTTTGATCCAGCCAATTCTCACCACTATTCGGGTCATACGACTGGCTTCCCAATTAGATGGCTTGAACAAATCAATTTTCCAGTCGCTGAACACCGGCACATTAGCCCCAATAAGCTTGACTTTCTCCTCTGGTTCCTCGCCCGCAACCTCAGCCCCCTCTCCTCTCTCTTCCTCCGCCGCTTGTCTTCGTCGGATCAATACCTCTTTGCTGTCCTGCAATTAGTCTGGACGTCGCTGGCCCTAATCCACTATAGTGCTTCCCTCCGGCTGATGGAGCTTGTTCTTTTAAGATGGTATGTCTTTTCTCCCCTTCTGTAGTGTTCTTTTGTGTGTCATGCCTGAGTTGTTCTTGCTTCTGCCAGGAGCTTCCACGTACTCACCATACCACACCCCTCTCTCGCTTCTACAGTACAATTGTCTCGGCGGATTTGACTCTAATATCTTGTCATCGACCAGGGCTGCTGCTTTTCCTCATCGCGCGACAGCGATAATTCGGCTTATGCAGCGCAGGTAGCCACGGAAGAGCGGCGTCGCGAATCGTCTCCTCATCGAGCGATTACAACCAGCAATACGCTGTCTGGCACCAACGCTTCTACTAGCACACGCGGCGCCCGGACTATCCGGAATGATCACTTTTCCCTCAGCCAGCATTACAACGCCCCCATCCGTCGTCATGTCTGGTATAGCAAACGACGATTATGGAGTCGGGCGCAGCTCGATCAGGAGCGCACGGCATTCTTCGAGACCAGAGTCACGGGTCGTCCAGAAATTTGGTCTGCTCTGTCTGCAGCAGTAACTCTGATGCGGGCTGGTGATATGTCGACAGCACAGACCATTATTGACGCAGCTGGCATCACAGTCCCAACCGGCGATCTCTGCCAGGGTTGCTACGACGAACAAGGCGCTCTTTACCGACTACCACAGTGCATTGTGAGCGACCCAGAGAACATGGTTCGATCAGTGCATGACCAGGAGGACGAATTCGACACCGACGATGGCAGATTGTCCTCGGACGAAGCTTCAGGGGATGACCTGATCGCAACCGACGTCGACCTGGAACGCCGCCGTGATGAGAAGGGGAAGACCAGCGAGCGGGATTTGATCCGAGTGCGAGCACGACTGAGTGACCGCGGAGGTCCGGATATTGACTTGTCGGTGGGAAAAACCGAGAGTGTTGGCTTTATTGCACGCAAAGTGCAGCAGGAGGCGGTGGTACGTCATCACGCATTATACCTCAATCGTATGCAACTGCATCGAACGTATCGCTAACCTTACATGAAGATCCCTCGCAGTTACCGCGTAAGAATTGCCTACCTGGGCAGGATTCTGAAAGAGCACGAGCCTCTGATCGACCAGGGTTGGAACCCAGGCCATGTCGTCAACGCATTAGTGGTCCCGCGACATGTCCTTTCCTCACAGCTCACGAATGGTTGAGAACGTGCCTGGTTTATTTAACATTTTCAATGCTTATGCACAATCTACCGGCTTCTGCGGCTCCTTTTCGACAGATCAGAATGCCACATCGATGGTTCGAGATGACTCCGTGGGTCAGACTCTACCTTTCGGACCCTTTGACTTCAACCCTTACCGCGTCTTACCGCAGTTTTTGAGGGTACCAGCTTCAACCATTACCCTACTCGGCACAATGATTTTACATTGCAACTAATGACAGCCTTGCATTTTACCCTCATCTCCTCTCGCATTTGTTTTGATTCTTTATCTTTATTTTTCCTGGTCTTCGCATAATACCCCCAACTACGTTGGCTGATTTTTCCTGCCTCTCTGCTGTTTTGATTCCCCCTATCGATGCCAATGATATCATTGATTCCAGTTCTTTGTGCTCGGTTTATTCCATGTCGCATATCTACTTCTACTCATTTCCTGGTCTTTTACGTCCTTACGCGCTCCTTCAGTGGATCTTGCGAGGTATGCACAATGACTTGTTGAATTAAAATGTTTGGAACGAGCCCCAGTCTAGTCAAGGTTTATATTTGATGATATACCCGCCTCCTACGGATAATGTATGTTGACACTTTTGAGCTTGTTACGATCATGTATCATGCGTGATGAATTATGGGTCATGAGATTTTGCCCGCTACGTACGATTCAACGGCTATATTGGCTTCGTTTTTTTCTCCCAAGCTTCTGAAATTTCTTTGGCACATGCATTTAGGTTTGTTGATAACTATTTAGCCAGCCAGATATGTTAGCAAAGTAGTTTATTCCCAGCAGCGTGTGGCTCGCAGAGAACCCCTTTCACATTCGGATGCGCTTAACCTGCTACGCAAAGTAAATATATCATCGCGACGACACATCGGAACACCCATCCAAGCATAATCTCATTTCAAGCTCCTTTGTAACGACTGTAACTCATCCGGACTCACAGGCTATGATGAAGACACAACAGAAATCCCAAAAAAAAGCACAGAAAAAAACGGATCTTCTGAGTCTCTACAGCAAGTGCAGTAGAAACTGCGAAAAACAAAAGAAGGATGCATCATCCGTGAATCGAACACGGGCCTCATCGATGGCAACGATGAATTCTACCACTAGACCAATGATGCTGGAGCGGATGACCGGTACGCCATCTGATTTGCTGTTGGAGATAATTCTTACTTTGGTATACTGTAACCTCATGATAAAAACGAATTAATTGAGAGAGCCCCTTTTATTCATTATGTCGAGATATGCGTTATATCAATTAGGTGTAAAAGGCGTTTCATGTCATTTTAGTTGATTTAAGGGAAATGCTCTCCAAGCAGAAAATTCGAAATTCTTAAAACTACTTCTTAAATAATTTCTATTTAAGTTATTCTGCCCATTCGATATAACGGATATTATATATAGAAAAAAACACCTTTGTACGAAATTTGTTATAGAGCGATACTACAAATTTTGTATAATAAAACTAATCTTGCAGTTGTAGGATTTTGTTATACAGCAAAAATCCGTCTTAACAAGATTTATTTTAGCGTGAGGCTACAGTATACACTCACATTGTGTTATTGAAGCTAGCTGGGGGATAGGGTTGAGAGGCGGGATGCAGAAGTTAAAGTATCTTGCGCCTAGCTCAAACAATAACGATTTGTCTATAACAGAGTAATAGAAACAAGAGCTGCTAGACATTCCTGAGTCTAGCTATGCTATGGCAGGTAACCTTTGCGTACGATTCGAGGGGTCCAGGGCTATGTGTTTCGGAAGAGCTACCTTGAGGATGATCTGGTGGGCTTGCTGCGTGGTTTTTGGGAGGTTTCGGCGTGGATTTCCGTAGGGGGAGGGAGGGGATTGTGGTTCAATGCATGGTACACTCTTTTAAGGGATTTTTTTTTTCATCTTGAGTGGATGGTGCTTGGTTGACGGAATAGCATGTACTTGATCGTCATGTACTATACTCTGCGGTTTGCGTAATGATCTGGAATGTTTCATGGAGCTCGTGGATGTGGATGTAGATGACTCAGAGAAATGCTTGACATTATTTTCCCAAGTTAGATCTACTGCAAGGTGACTAACTGTCTCAGCGATTGGAATGTGATAAATACAAGGCTCCTTTTCATGACCAAGTTTCTGGAACAATTTGACCATGCGGACTGCATCTGAAAGCCTTTGAATCCATGCTATCTGAAGCTGTAGCAGTAGGAAACAAGTCATAAATGAAAGCAAACCTGAACCATACACCCCATCAGCACATAATTCCGGGCACGAAAGCAAGCATGGAAGCTACAGCAATCTTCCGTTCTCGGCCTCCCTGCCCTTGGGCGTGCGTCCAGACCGGCGCTTGAATACCCGGCAGACCACCCTTGCGCCATTCACGACTCCCCGTACCAGGCTGGTGGGATTGTAGTGTTTGACCCGGAAGATGTAGTACAAGGCCACAGTACCGAGGACGTTGAAACCGATGTAAGCCCAGCCGATACCGTAGTTGCGCCAGCGCTCGCTGTAGTCTTTTTCACTGATTAGTCAACAACATTATAGACGAGAGGAGGTAATCAGTACGTACAAATGTTACTCGACGCGAGGTATTGATCGGCGTTTCTCAACTGGCAGTACTCGCATCCCTGTGTCGCTGTGGGGTTGTACAATTGCCCCGGGGCAACCTGCAGGTACTGAGCCATGTAGTCTCCGCAGGTCTGGCCGGAGGGAGGGTTGAACACGCTCATCTCCTCGCTGGAACAACGAATGGCTCTTCCGTGTAATCCTGTCGCCGTGATTCCTGCAATCAGGTACGTCAGGGGGGAGACCCGGTACATGAAAATCCAGAATCCCGGGAGGGCGGAGGGAGCCTGCATGACACCGTTGAAGGTGAGCGCCATGATGAACAGGAGCGTTGCGATCGAACCTCCTGTCTCGGCGTCGGGTAGGGCACAGATGATCAGAGATGCAAAAGTCGAAGTGAACACGTAGAACTGGGTGATCAGAAGTAGCATAAGTCCCTGGCGGGCGGATGCCTGGTTCGCTCCATAGACTGGGTAATAGTAGGACGCCCATGCGATTATACCCGCAATCACCTGGTAAGGTATCTCGACAAGAACGTTGGCAATCAAAAAGGCCGCCCATGAATAGGCCTTCGACGGTCGTTCTCGAACCTCATACAATGATCGCTGGACCACAAATTTGGGCATGATTCTATTTTCGTTAGTGGCGATGTCCATGAATTTCGACATGAAACTTACTGTTGCACCAGGGTGGAGAATATCGAAGTCATCATGAAGGCGCTAAACAAGACATCCTGGAACCCCTGTTGAGTGCTGTTCGGTTTGAAGAATGTAAAACCAATGAAAAGAGATGCAGCTGTAGCTAGAGCGAGCTTAGCCCAGACGTAAGCAGGCTCGCGCCAGTATTGCTGGAACACTCGATGCGTGACATGCCAAACCTGGTTAGTAAAGGGCATAGCAAATTCGCTCTTCTGGGCCGTGTTGTCTTGAGACTCGGGAGCTGAGGATCTCTCCTGACAGATCCTGTCAATCTCCTTCTGGATGTTCTTGGCCTCCTGGCTATCTTTCCAAACCGCTGCCCAATCCTGGGTCGCCTTTCCCGATGCTCCGGCTCCAATAATCTCAAGCATATACTCGGCGGGCTATGTCATGTTAGTACACTGTAAGATTGGCGGACAAGCTACTCACATTCTCGGATGAGCCGCACGGTCTAGCACCGTTGACTTCGAAATAGTGCAACAGGGTGCGGGATTGATCTCCGATATCACCGAAATATACCGTTCGCCCTCCCTTGGCCAGGAACAAAAGACGGTCAAACTCCTGAAACAAGAGCGCGCTTGGCTGATGGATAGTCGAGAGGACTGCCTGACCGTGATCTGCGAGCTTCCTTAGAAAAGAACAGATGGCCCATGAGCTTTGGGAGTCCAAGCCACTTGTAGGCTCGTCGAGAAAAATGAGTAGAGCGGGCTTTGCAGCAAGTTCAACGCCGATAGTCAATAACTTCCTCTGCTCTACATTCAATCCTTCGCCTGGCGTACCCACAATAGCACTGGCGAAGTCTTGCATGTTAAGCATTTCAATTACTTCCTCAACATACTTGTACTTCTCTTCCTTTGACACCGATTTAGGCTGGCGCAAGAGGGCACTGAATCGCAATGCCTCTCGCACAGTCGTTGTAGGCAGGTGAAGATCCTGCTGTTGCACATAGCCGGTCTTTCTAGGGAAACTGCTGTCAAGACCTTTACCATCTACCAAGGTCTCACCGGTGACAACTCCTATTGAGACACGTTTTGCTAGTACATCAAGTAGAGTAGTCTTGCCGGCGCCTGAGACTCCCATCAAGGCTGTGAGAGTTCCTGGCTTAACCCAACCCGAAACATGGTCGAGAAGGCGCCGCTCGCCTCCCTTGACGGGTATGTCATAGCAGACATTACGCCATGTGAATATGCTATGCTGCTCGGGAATGGCAGATGCATCTTTCTCATTCTCAGTAGGCCTCTGAGCCAAGGCGGCATCTGTAGTGCCCTCTTCGGCTTCTGACTTTCTGTCCAGGTCGCGCATATGTGGGGGCACATGGCCTCTTCGGAACACGAGAAATTCGGCCTTTGACGAAGTAGCAGAGTTGAGCTCAGTTGCCACCAGATACAGGGCCGTGAAGAAGATCCAGAAGCCGATCAAGATACCCAGGTTCCTCCATTCATGTGCGTAAGTATACCTGTACTGGGATTCGATATAAGCATCTCCAGACACAGTCCGCTCTCCTGCGACAGCGCCTCGCACTGAACAAATGAATGAGTCCCCACTCAAGCTGGGGTAAGCTGGCACAAATGCTGAGCATGTGAATTGTCTACCGTGGAACTCGTTGGCTATCAGAGCCTCGAAGGTGTAGTAGACCGGGTTTATCCATCGGATCCAGCTAAACCACGGGATATCTGACATTTGCGGCGTAGGAATCACGAAGCCGGTATAAATAACAATGGCCAACACCATGACACCGGCCAT